TATCATTAAACACTCGGAAACTTTTTGTCACAGGTAATGCACTTGTCAAAGATGAACACCCATTCAAATCTCATTCAAAAGTAATCATCAATGTTAACATTTTTGAAAACTAAGTCAAACTTCAAGATGAAGGTCATGGGTCAAAATTCATTGCATGCTTAGAAAAGTCTTGACATAGGTAATGCACATATCAAATATGAGCATCATATCTTCTATTATTCAAAAGTTATAAGCAATATTAAAATTTTTGAATAGTAAGTCAAATGTAAAGGTCAAGGTACCTGGGGTCAAAAATCACAGTATATTTTGAAAGGCCTAGTTACATGTGAAATATGAAAGCCATATCTCTTTTCATTCAAAAGTTATGAGTTAGGTGAAAGTAATGTAAAAAATTTTAAAAGTAGGTCAAACTTCAAGGTCATAGGGTCAATAATCTTAGTATATTTGGAAAGGTCCTGTCTCAGGTAATGTACATGTAAAATACGAAAACCCTACCTTTTCTCATTCAAAAGTTATTAGTTAAAGTTTTTATGACAGACCAACAGCTAAACAGACTGACAGATGGACAGACTGACAGACGAATGAAATTTAATGTCCTCTCACTTTTGCTAAAGCGGGGAACAAAAATAAAGTTGTGTTATTGTAGTGGCTTCAGTAATACACTATCCCTGTTTTTCAACTTTTCATTTGAAATTAGATCCATGGATGTACTTTTGCTATGTTTTAAAAAGTCTAGTACCATAGTTAAAGCCCTAGAAAGTCGAGTAACATAGTAACAAGCCCTAGAAATTGTAGTACCATAGTTACAAGCCCTAGAAAGTCTAGTATCATAGTTACAAGCCCTAGAAAGTTTAGTATCATAGTTATAAGCCTTAGAAAGTCTAGTATCATAGTTACAAGCCCTAGAAAATCTAGTATCATAGTTACAAGCCCTAGAAAGTCTAGTATCATAGTTATAAGCCTTAGAAAGTTTAGTATCATAGTTATAAGCCTTAGAAAGTCTAGTATCATAGTTACAAGCCCTAGAGCCTAGTATCATAGTTACAAGGCCTAGAAAGTTTAGTATCATAGTTATATGCCCTAGAAAGTCTAGTATCATAGTTATAAGCCCTAGAAAGTCTAGTATCATAGTTACAAGCCCTAGAAAGTTTAGTATCATAGTTATAAGCCTTAGAAAGTCTAGTATCATAGTTACAAGCCTTAGAAAGTCTAGTATCATAGTTACAAGCCCTAGAAAGTCTAGTATCATAGTTACAAGCCCTAGAAAGTCTAGTATCATAGTTATAAGCCTTAGAAAGTTTAGTATCATAGTTATAAGCCTTAGAAAGTCTAGTATCATAGTTACAAGCCCTAGAAAGTCTAGTATCATAGTTACAAGCCCTAGAAAGTTTAGTATCATAGTTATATGCCCTAGAGAGTCTAGTATCATAGTTATAAGCCCTAGAAAGTCTAGTATCATAGTTACAAGCCCTAGAAAGTCTAGTATCATAGTTACAAGCCCTAGAAAGTCTAGTATCATAGTTATAAGCCTTAGAAAGTTTAGTATCATAGTTATAAGCCTTAGAAAGTCTAGTATCATAGTTACAAGCCCTAGAAAGTCTAGTATCATAGTTACAAGCCCTAGAAAGTTTAGTATCATAGTTATATGCCCTAGAGAGTCTAGTATCATAGTTATAAGCCCTAGAAAGTCTAGTATCATAGTTACAAGCCCTAGAAAGTCTAGTATCATAGTTACAAGCCCTAGAAAGTCTAGTATCATAGTTATAAGCCTTAGAAAGTTTAGTATCATAGTTATAAGCCTTAGAAAGTCTAGTATCATAGTTACAAGCCCTAGAAAGTCTAGTATCATAGTTACAAGCCCTAGAAAGTTTAGTATCATAGTTATATGCCCTAGAGAGTCTAGTATCATAGTTATAAGCCCTAGAAAGTCTAGTATCATAGTTACAAGCCCTAGAAAGTCTAGTATCATAGTTACAAGCCCTAGAAAGTCTACTATCATAGTTATAAGCCTTAGAAAGTCTAGTACCTAATAACAAGCCCTCGGATATACAATCGACCTGTTAAGCATTAACTTCCTGTCAATTTTATGTTTTTCAATCTGGGAGTGTACAAGACTGGCCGCTCACATCAGAAACAAAATTAACAAATTTGTACATTTTCCGTTGTCAGGTAATAAAATAATACTGACAATTAACATGAATAGACTATCAGTGCATTTTCAGTTGTCAGGTAATAAAAGGATACTGCAGTTTGTGAAAATGTTTATTATGTCACAATTTTGTAGCATGGTAATAAACAAAATAAATGATGTAGTGGGATTATCATATAAGACCTGATCTATGACTATGTAGCACTATCATGCTTCTTGACAACACAGGAGAAACGAACACACCATCTGGAATATTAATATATATATGTCACATCTAAAAGTGGTTTAACCAACAAACAACACTTGAATTTAACAAAGCCACACTTCATTCACACAAAATTGTTGCCACTGTCACATACTTTGCTCAAACTCAGTTTCAAAATAGTTTTCCTTTCTGTTCCACAACAGACATTTTTATACTCATGATCACAGAACTGAGAAATAAATGTACATTTACAGTAAATAAATATTCAACTGTCCCATCAACTCTATACGAACTTCTGATATTAATTAAGCCGAAGGATATGAACGAATCTACCATTGTAAACCAATTATTATTCCATGCAAGGAAGATCCACCAGTTTTGCAACCTTCATTCCAATTTAATTTACAGAGTTTTATTAATTCAGTGTTTTATTAATGTTAAATGCTTCCTCAGTCTCAAAAAAACAAAAGTCTTCGATGGAATTCAAACTTACGAAAATTGCCTTGAATAACAGTTGGTTTACAGTAAATAATTTTGTAGCTTTTAGGCTTTCATTAGAAAGCAGAACTACTTGATGTTAATCATACAGTACAACTACTGACATCAGATTGAAAGCAAAACTTAAGTTGTTCATCCCATTTGTCACCTTTGAATACCTTCTTTCCAAAATTATCTATTGCTTATCCCTTATAAACTTCAGACCCATCCAATTAAGAAAGTTTAAAAGGCCATCTATCTAAAAGAAGGGGCACAATGTTTTCCAGACTTTCATTGCACTTAAAATCATGTTCTTTGGACCCATTATTTGAGAATCCAGTTCACAGGACAAAGGGGACTTGTATATAAACTGACTAACTAGAGGCACTGTGAGCAAGCTCACAAAATTATTTTGAACTTGCCAAAATGACCTTTGTTAAAAAAAAAAAATCATCCTCTGGTCACAAGTAATCTTTGAGTGAAATATGGAAATCAATGTTTCTCCATTAGAAAACAATGGATCTGACACGAATTTTACATTTTTTCTGCCAGATCTTGAACTTGCCATGATGACCTTGGGTCAAGGTTATGACATACTTTAAGCTCACAAATAGTTTTTGTTTGAATTTTTCAATTTTTCAATTTCTAACCCAAAAAATTATATTTTTCTGCCAGAGACCTTGAGTTTTTAGAATGACCTTTGGTTAAGGTCAGAACAGGTAAGAAACAAATATTATTTGTGTTTGAACTACCAACATTAATCCATTAAAAGGTTACAGACCAGACACAATTTAAAACTTCTTCTGTCAACAACCTTGAACTTGCCAAAATGACCTTGGGTTGGATCATGATGCACCCTCCAAGTCATAACCAATCTTTGTGCAAAGTATCAACTTCCAATTGGCCTCCATTTGAGAGTTTTAGACGGAACACAAATCACCTTTTTTGCCAGTGACCTTGAACTTGCTATAATGACCTTGGGTCATGGTCAATACATATTTCTCAGATCATATGCAATATTTGTGATATGAGCCTCTTATTTTCTTCTTTCCAAGATATGGTCAGCAATTAAACATTTTTTCTATAGGTGACCTTGAACTTGATCAAATGACTTTGGGTCAAGGTCATAATACACCTTCAGGTCATAAGAATCTGGGTACAAAGTATGAATTTCCTCATAAAGAAGCTATAAACCAGATGAAAAATTTATACTTTTTTCTGCCAGTGACCTTGCTTTTGCCAGAATGACATTTGGTCATGGTCATCACACACCTTCAGGTCATATAAAAAATCTTTGTACCAATAGGAGCTTCGATTGATTTTCCACTACAAAGTTATAGCCTGCACAATATTGCACGGACAGAGAGACACAGCTATTCCTATAAACCCCCCAAAAACTTCATTTGTGTGTGTGTGGGGAGGGGGGGAGGGGGAAAGGGGGTAAAAAAAACTGTATGACATTTCATACTTCTTTGTTACCTCAACCTGGCCCATAGATAGTGGAAGTTGTCAATTTGAATGTGTCTATTTCTTCCATACAAATGCATTTAATTAATCCATATATATTTATAAGACTTCATAAATTTTCTATATAGATATACTTACTATTATATAGAAATTTGGGTTAGAGCTAGTAATTATTAAAATCTTTTAGTAATATTGCTTATTCAATGAACTCAGTGAATCAGCTATAAACTGTTGTTAAGTGAATATCTGCCAATCCTTCTTTTCTACATGATAATTCTCAACAAAACAATGGAAATTTTACAATCTTCCTAATAGTAAGAGATATCATAAAATATGCCCTGAAAACTAAAGTGTTCTATTCACTCTAATGGATTCAAAAGCTTCTAATTAAAAATACAAAAGCTGCCTCACTTCTATGGCAAATACTCCTAAGTGAATTTTAATTTAATCATTTTTCTATTTAAACATCTCATAAAATTCTTTCCTTTTTTCGAAATACAAGATTTTTCTGTCTTAAATTAACTTTTTTTTTTTAATAAATTGAAAATTCTCGCTTAAAAAAATTTTCAAATAAGTGCACAATGAACAAGAGCCCAACAGCCACAATGTGTAACATTTTGATGAAAAAATGCATGAAAATCACCATTCTTTCTATTTGATTTGTATTAATCTACAATCCTAGTGAAGAACTTATCACATATAATATATTTAATTTGTATTAATCTACAATCCTAGTGAAGAACTTATCACATATAATACACTGTACAACTCATGAGACCATGGTTTATCACCAAAAGGCAGTGTTCAAATAAATAATACAAGGTTATAATAAACATGCACCATTAAATCAAATGATTGAAATAAAAGCTACCTTTAAATTTAAACTTGTCTGTCTTTTAAAATTTGCTTTTCTCTCCCTTCAGTACAGAATCTAAAGCGTATAAAATCAGGAATATATCAATAGCTCTAAGGTTGATTATAATGATTGATCTCTAATTACCATTTCTAGAGTGTGCGACATTATTAAATCTATATATGTCAGGAATACAAAAAGTGCAAGTTATTACTGGCAACCTTATTTTTTTCCAGTTGACACATAAGAAAAAAAAAAAAATTTCTCAAATAATAAAAATAAATTCAAAATATTGTTCAAATCAACCAAAAATTATGACAGATAATCCTTGTTCAATATATACAACTTGAGACCCACTTTAGAAAAAAATATACCAACCACAAAAACATGTAAAAAGACAAAACAAAAAAATATCGAATTTAACAACCAAAAATCTCTGAAGAGACTGTAGCACTACTGCTCTGGCCTTTGTATTGCTCTGGGAGAAAAAAACCTAGCATATGTGCTATGATAATTCTCTTTTGAACTTCTATGGATTGTTATTTATTTTCAAGACTGATACTGATTTTTTATACAACACAACCCTCTTCAAATAAATGCACATAATTATCTCATAAATTTGAATAATTATTTTTTTTACAGAATCATTTTCCCCTTCTTAAAATACAACACTGGACAGATTACAAACCTTTTCTTATTACACCAGAATAGGAAACATCTTTTTTTAATCTGCATACTGTAAACATTATTATTTTGAAGGTTTGAAAGTTTGACAATTTTGATATTTTAGAAATATCGCAAGTGATAACTTTGACGATCTAACAGTATTTAAACAGTGCTCTTTAACAAGAATGTCCAGGTTGACAAGTGCAAACTTTGACGATTTTTACTCATTTGGCAAATTCATCAACGTTTTCATGTTGTCAAAGTTTCCACTTAACGGTACCTTTCTAAAGCTTGGTTGACCCTACAAAAGTTATAGTTCCTGATTCAAATTTAGTCCACGAAATTAATAAAATATTCTTTTTTTTTTAATAATAATAATGAAAATCAGTTACTTTCTACTCAAAACTATGTACTATGAAAGATTGAGGTATATAACTTCCTGCCCTTCAACTGATGAAACTATAGGAAAGCATCACAATTAAAAAAGTCTAAAATAATTAATAAGACTCATAAGAAAATCTTAACAACAAGTGCACATGCACTTCATTCACACCAATTCTTTGTTCTTGTTTAACAGTCAATAAAAGCACAAACTAATGACTCCTTAACCAATACGACAATCTCCTAACAAGTCAATTATCAAAGCTCTCAAGGAAACGACTGTCATCTTACCAAACAATCAACTCCACCATAATGTCTCTCCCAAAACTGAGGCAAAAAAGAAGCTCAAAAACAATGTTGATAAAAGCTGTTTTGGGTCTCCAATGATGTTGGGATTTCTGGGAAGTGGAACACGAGAAGCTTCGGCTGGTTTGATCTCGGCAGGTTATGGAGCAATGGACACCAGATTTCAGGACAGAACTTCAATCCACCGTGTCACTCCTCTGTTGACCAACTCTCGGTTGACAAAAGTAACCTAAGGAAACAAATTATACTAATCATCTTTTAAATTATACAATTCATTTTTATCCATATTAAAGATGTGTACACATTTTCTTGAAAATTTTACAAGTTCTCAACAACAAAAAAACACTACATAGTTATAAATAAGCAGATTAAAATGCTTCATATAGAGTTATCAAGTGCTTAAAGAAGAAATTGTTTCACTGCTGCATATGTACAAGATAAAGTGAATGAAATCAGACTTACATATATTACAACAACATTTTCATGAGTGCTTTATAGTATTTTAGCTTATAAAAGAGAAAATAAGGTTGTGTCTAGTCACAGACAGACTAAGCTGCCTATGAAAAGATGTGCCACAAACTTCCAGCTAAATCTGTCAATGGTGAAGAGCAGTTAAGGGGATTCTTTCAAATGAGTAGGTAATATATGTGATACCTTTTCCCCATTAATCTGGTAGATGTGAACATAAGGAATGCCCTCCTCACTACGTCCCACGACCTGGGCCTGTAACATTTTACCCTGTGTCAGCTCCTCTAAAACAGCTGCAGCCTCAGCACTGAAGAAATCTTCATCTTAATATGAAAAAACATTGCAGAAACATTAACTAATAAAGAAAATTAATGTTCTATAGTGTTTAACCTCTTATTCTATGGAGAATTTTGTTGCCTAATGTTATATTTAGATTTTGATAATTCAACTTTCTCTTTTAAAACAATTTCTACACTTACCTTGAAGTGGTGTTATATTGGCCATATAACATTCACAAGCTTGGAAAGGCAGTGTCATAAAATCACTCCTGTTTTAACAAATTACACACTGCATTACATCCATTATACAGAAGATATATATAATGATCACTCATTGTTCACAATTGGTTATTTTCATTAAGGAATTTCCTACTGACCTGATTTGACGGAGTGTGCTCCCTTGGACTCGAGAGAATCCCCCGTAGTCTACATACTTGATATCACATTCATCCGAGTCCTCGCTTACAGCAGATATCTGAGCTCTATACCAGCCATTCAGCATTGGTGCGGCACAGATAACTCCAACTACAATTATAAATAAAATCTAAAGCCTGAAAGGCTTCAATGGTGTCTAATATGAAAAGCAATTTCAAAAGTTCTTTTTGAATTTTATATAAAATTTTAACTTTAAACAAAATGTGACAATTAAATTTTTGGGGCCTTATGCCATGGTCAGAATATAGCAGGGTTCGAATTGACCAAACATGGTCCAACAAGTTCATGCTGAATATTTAACTCATCTCTTTTCGTCAGTTGAAAATCTATGAAGGGTTTAATGAATTTAAATATCTTATTCTGACTGTCAATGTCTAAGCATTGTTTTAGTGATTGCATCTAAACTATAACCATGTCTCTGCTATGACTATGAGTTACGATCTGGTGAGGTGTATACTTCAAAACGGAGGAAATGGAGACATACACAGGAATAGAGGTCATTAACTTTAGTTTGTATGATAAATTTGGTTATAAAATTGTAAAAGTAAAGTTGAAATTCTGAAATTTAACGTCTTTAGTCTTCTAGTATTCGTATTTATTTAATTTTGTGATTATCTTACTGCCTGGTGGCTTATTCCTTATACTTAGTTATCTTTCTGAAAAATTATTCATGTCATTTGACAAACCATCTTCTTTAGAAATTTATTCACAACATCTATCAGGTTTTTCTTGTGTGAAAATAAACAAAGTATCTGTGTTTTGTAACAGAATTAATTGTAGATATAACTGATGCAATTTTATTTTCAAGTTATATTTCATTGTGAGCATTTTCAAAGAAACTGAGTTATTGCTATTGCTATTTTCTTTTGTGGATGCATCCACCGACACCTGGTTGTGTAATTCTGGTGGTAATTTCAATGGGATACTGGCTTGATAACATTCAAGCTCTGCTTGATGCCATAAAAACATACTTTCACCAATACTAATGTAAGACCTTCATACCACATGTATATCTAACATCTATTTAACAGATAAAATTATCTATCACTTGGGTAAAATAATTAGAATCTTTTCTGCAGAATATTCACCTTCTAGTGGACGGGGAAGCTGTGGCACCAGACCATCCTGCATGTAGCAGCCAATCATGAACTGATTGAGGCGTTCTAGGGATGGAAAGGAGGGGTGGGTGGGCTGTTGAATGAAGATATGTCCCGCATCTACAATACTGGAGACCACCACATCTACAGACACACCCTCAGGGAGGCTCAGCTGAAATTGACCATCAATAGAGGCTTTACATCTTTAAGTTAACGAATTAGTTCTTAGAGTTAATCAATTAGCTCTTTAAGTTAATTAATTAGGTCTTCAAGTTCAGGGATTTTTTTACCCTTTGATTCTTGGGGCCGGGGCCGTCAAGATTGGGAAAAATAGCGATATTTGGTTGAAATTGGGAAAAATATCTTCATACAAATAAATATGAAAAAAGAAGCAAAAGTCAAATATTTAATAATTTTTCTCTTTTTTATAGTATGAAGCTGGCTTAAACCAGCTTTAGTGATACGAAATAATAGAGGCTGTTGAAATTCAGAAGCTTAAAAATGGCAAAGCCGCATGGTATGATAACATTGTATATGATAACATTGTATATGTTTTTTTTTTTTTTGATAAATGAACATATTTATATGTCATCTTTTTTACCTTTATGTAAGAAGTTCTTTAAAATAACATTTGATAGTGGGTTTGTTCCAGATGAGTGGTTAATCGGTATTGTTTGACCAGTTTATACGAATAAGAGCGATTCAACCCAGCCTGAAAATTACCGTCCTAAGCAAACTGGAGAGACTGACATGAGCATGATGCACGTTTATTTTTTAGATAACGATCCCGACTTTAATTTTTAAACATCGATCCCGCTTTAAAAAGTATGCATGCAAACATCCAGTGTATTCCGAATAACTTCTTGGAAGTCCTTGGATGGCTCGTACATCGCACATAGAGAACATAACCACCTTTTTATCATTATTTTATTTTAATAATTTACAGCTTAATACTTTTTTTCATATTGGGAATTTTTAGGTATGATTTTGGGAAAAACATGCACTTTTCAGCATTGGGAATGGGGCCGAATTTCGGCCCCAGAGAGACCCTAAAAAAATCCCTGAAGTTGGATGGTTTTAAATGCAACAATATAGGCAAAATGCAAATGTACACAGCATACTTCTAATTACAATTGAAAAATGCAAAAATGTTACATAGTGAAGGCTAAAACTGTCTGATATCTGCCGTTTACCTAGCTTTACTGATAGGAAATTATATATATTATTATCCTTTTTTTTGCAATTATTTCTCACTAAAGAATATCTTAGCACTTTTGAATTTATACAATGAAAACGAAAAATTATAAAGCTGAAAATTGAGAAAACTATCCTGATAATATGAAAATCTAATCACTAAGAGATTTCTCTAGCTCTATAATATATATATGTTTTATTTTAAACAAAATATCCACTGCAATCATCTTTTAGTTGTAAATGGTTCTACAAATCTATGTTAAACAAAAGGGTTATACACAAGTGTTCAGCACACAGAATACAGGTTGGATACCTTTTTAAAAAAAGAACTTACCATTCCCAAAATCACAACACTAGGGATCTATGAAGGAGGAGAAAATCAGCTGATTTAAAACACAATTATATTTCCTTCCACAGGTCAATCATTTTTGAAGAATATAACATTAAGGGATAACATATTTAATTAATGTAAAATCACTAATTTTCTTGGGGGTCAAATTTTCGTGGTTTGAGGGAAAAAAATATCAGTTCGCAGGGATTTGATTTCATGGTTGAAGAAGTGAATACAATTTTAACATTTCGTGGAGGACACGAATTTGTGGGTCACATACCTAGAAAATAACAAAAATTAAACCCCCACAAAAATCAGTGATTTTACAGTATTCAAAGAAATCTTATTTAGTGCTAGGTTTAAACCTGATACCTGTCAGAATAAATTCAACTTCCAGTAATCTCTCTTTGAATTAAGGTCCATTAATTAGTGACATGGACATCCAAACTGTATTCTTGTGTTTAAAACCCTTCAATTTGTGAAATTAGAATTGGAAATTGTATCTGTGAAAAGTTTCTTCTACATTAAAGAATTAAGAATCTACCATTAGTGAGTTGAGCTTTAGTCAAAGTGAGTTTGTGTCAATTTTCTATGTTCTGACTATTCTGATGAGACAACATCCAATATTTGAACATAAATAGTGAATAACTGAATATGTGATAAGAAATCAGTGAACAATAGATTGTCTACACATGCAGTTTTTATACAACCCCTCCCAAACCATATACCAGTATAAGAACAAGTAAAGAATAAGGCCAAAAACATTTTTTCAATGTTAAAGTTTTTGAAATATAGATCTTCCAGCTGGAATTACCAATGTATTTGAAGATGAGTAGTACCTCATTCTTACTTGTTAGGACAGGATATACATGCTCCAAGCACCTGGATAAAGCAGGAGAGGAGAAAAATAAAGAATGACAGTTACCTGGGAGATGCCTGGCATTACCTGCATAATATCAGGCATCAGGACAGCTGATTGGGGGGCGTCGCCGGACGGAATGTTGACAGGACTTAAATCCACCTCTGGAAACTTCCGTTCTATCTGTCGCAATGCTGCATCTATTTCTCTCTGAGTGCCTACAATGTTTGTTAGATGACTTGTTATATACAATTGTAGTAGCTAGGTAAGCATCAGAAAACAATGTAGATTATGACCATCAGATAAAAATAAATGCATAACGAGTTTACATATAGGTCCCATAATCAGTGCTTGTTAGTAACCTGTTTTTCTCAAACTTGAGTTAATTTTTTTTACATTAAATAGACACAAGACTTGCCCATTTCTCTTGAAAATTGAAAATAATTTAGGAATACTGGTTGATAATGAGCACTGGTTATGGGACTTGTTTCTCCCATCATATAAACATGAACGTGTGTTGTTTTGGTGAAATAAACAAGGTGCTGAAGAAGTTGCCTATCTCTCAAGATTTGTCAATCTGTTGAAGTAATATATTCAAGGGAAAAAGTTCAGAGAATAAAAAATTGAATTTGAATACTGTATACGGGGTTATTTTCGCCCTTTCACACTTGCAAACCATTTTGCCCCGATTGAAGTTTGCCCATTCGCTGTTCTGTTAAAGAAATTATACTGTCTTCTTTGAATTCACCTCGTCTTAAATTCACCCACTTGCATCTAGGACAAAAGGGGTGAAAATAAAACAGAGGCGAAAATTTTCCTGTATACAGTAGTAAATATTAACACACAAACTGCATTTTGTGCCATCATAGGCATAAACTTGGATACGTTGTCCCTGAAAAAAGCAGCCAATCAGAATCATTCTAGGTATTTCATAATGAAATGAACACAAAAAAGAACGACTGCACAGGAGTGATGAAACATGGTTGAAAATGGAAAAATACAAATTGTGATTTTCCACAAAATATAAAAGTAACGCAGTTAAACAGAACAAGTCTGTGACTACATGTAATATGTGTCAAACAAAAACACCTGATGAGAAACCTGTATTAATTTAAAGTATCTGACACTACTTCTGATTAATAGCTGACAAGTATTTGTGTTTATCATCAGTACCTTCAATACTACAGAGCTGAAACTCTGGTGTGAAGGGGTTCGCACTTAAGGTAATATTTGCCCCTGACTTCTCCTTAATGAAGTTGATATTTTTCCCATGCTTTCCAATCAGTCTCCCACATATGGCAGTAGGAAAATTACAGTGGTACAGCTGTTGATTTGGGGAGGTGATGGGGGTAGGAAGATCTGTCATACTGGGGCCCCTGCCGCTGTCATTAGATGCCTAAAAATATAGCAAATTCTAGAGAAAAGACAGAACTTGACTGTTACATAAAAATCATCATGAAAATTCAGTCCTTTTTTTTTTTTGATATCCCACAGATTTTTAAACATTCTATAAAACCCAATATTAATTCATCTTTCAATATTTTGCTTACATGACTCTCAAATACAGACCTTCAGATGGTTGACAGACACTTACTTCACTGGCATTATCACATCCTGAAGAATTAGAATCAGATCCATGGACCCCATTATCTAACACATGGTCACTTCCACCTGAGGGGTGTGTCTTTCTATTTATAGGCCTGTCCTTTGGTGGTGATGACTTCACTTCCTGTTTACTCTTTCTATAGAGCTCGTTTTGATGATTTTCCTTCTTGACAGGTGAGGCAGTCTTAGTGTCTGTGTGTTTTGGACTTGAGGTCTTTCTGGAGTCAATGGCAGTTTTGTGTTTATCAGTTTCTCTTTTTTCAGCAGTATGAGAATTTTTCTCCTTTTTCTTTTCATCTATTGAATTATTTTCCAGCGGTGTTCCATTTACTGTGCTCACAGTGTCTTTAGACTGTTTAGTCACTTTTTCCGAGACAGAGGAGGGTGGCAATGGAGAATTTTTAGAGGACAATGATTCTTTCATGTTGACTAACGGCACTTTTTCTGCGACACTAGACTCTTTCTTGTCTATAACATCTTCCACTACCTCTGGCTGGGGCTGAGACTGAGTTGTATCTAACAATGTGGACTCCAAAAGAGGTTCACTCAATGAGGTACACAAGGAAATGTCTTCTACTTTACATTGTTTATCTTTGTCACCAAGGATACTCTGTTCACTAATGCCTGACGTGATGAAGGCATCATTCATCAGTGATGTTTTTTCTCCACACAATAAAGACTGGGATGACAATAAAGACTGGGATGAACTCTCACTCATCATGCTCTCATTTACAGGGATCAGTTCTGATTCTGTTACTTCACCTGCTCCATTCTGACTAGATCCCACTTCTTTTGTCTCACACTGAAAATTTCCAGAAGTATCCTTTTGACTGGATAGTGGTGTACCATTTGAGATTGAGGGGAACATTTGGGGGAGGATCTTGTGATCTTTATTCATCTCCTCCTCCACAGAGTCTCCCCCATCTGATACCTCCACGTCATCTGTCCTGGTGATCTGATTAGCCTTCCTTTTCCTACTGCCCACTGGTGAAGCCATAACACCATTTCTCTGATTTTCCTTTTCTACTGACTCTCTCCTTTTTCCATCAGGTGAAGAGTTGTCTATGCTCTCCCTTTCCTTTGTTTTTTGTGACAATTCTGTTACACTAGATGTAGGAACAGAACTTTTCTCTGTTGATTCAGACTGGTCATCCTCCTTTGGTAATAGTTTTGGTTTAGGGGTCTTTTTCCGACCAAAAAACCAAATGAAGCCAAAAACAACTGTAACAGCAGGCAGGGCAAATGTGAGTATTCCTCTGAAGTTAGGCATCCTTAATCCGCAATACTCTGTATCTGCAAAGGGAACACTACATGTACCCTCTATAAATCATGTGAATAATAGACCCTGTAACATTTTACAAATCAAGCAACAATAATATATCAAAATGTTTTAAAAATTTGAGAGTTTCAAACCTACAGGCCTCAATACTCTTCTTCCTTCTGCTGGCAAAGGGAGATAAATGAAACCCTTAGCAGTGGCGAATAAATTAAAGTCAAGATTTCAACAAGAAGACATCGTCGCAAGCCACGGGTTTTGTGTCCATTCTATTTCCACAAACCCGTGGCTGCCTCCTACCAAATTCTCTCGTTCTCGCAACTGAATCATTGAATATTTATTAAGTGACGCCATATGTACTTGACCAATGAAATCACTCTGTAGCAATTTTTGGTACGCTTAAATGGCGGCGCCCATAATGAAATCATGTTTGCTATGCGTGGCAGATTTACTGAAAAAAAATATATGATAGATCCTGAAAAACAGAGGTGAGTAACGTATATTCTAAAATACTTACAAGGTTTTACATTAAAATACAGGGTTTCAAATGTAGACGTTGTGTGAGAACGCTGAATAGCGTTACTCGTTAAGAAAGGAAATTCGAACCAAAGTTGATGTACAGCTCGTGGTTATGGTTACATCCAAATACAAGATAGACTGATCATTTTCATTGGTTCTGACTTGAAGCGTCAGATGTTATTCCATTGATTGAATGTATGGTATTAATATTCATGAGAACGAGAGAAATTTGTAGGAGACAGCCACGGGTTTGTGGAAATAGAATGGACACAAAACCCGTGGCTTGCGACGATGACAAGAAGATAGCAATAGGTCACCTGAGTAATCTCAGGTGACCAAAAAACTGACAAAATCTTACAGGGTACTGTAGTATTCTTATTTCTTAGATCAAATATCTTAACCTTTGATCTTGATCACTAAGAATCTCTCAGAATCTGTAGGGGTCTCTTTTAATTGTGTTGTGAATAAAAAAACCTGCATGTTTGAATATTTTATGTAACAGTACATGTTTACATGAAAACAATCTTGATCTTGATCTTCAAATAAAGTGCATAGGTGTCATCCTCTTGCCAATGTTCAGACATGCCTTGATATGTTCTTTTGTTCCTCTGATCATCCTCCTACTTACATATATAACTTAAATAAGAAATCTTTAAGCAGTCTTTGCAAAATCTTTTATTCAGCACATTCCCTTCAGGCAGGTGTACCCACGTACACTAGCCCAAACAAATATTTGCATGCTCAGAATTTTACTAAGTAATTTTACCAACTGATCTCTAGTTTTCGATTCAAGAGGGAGTGAAAAATTTAGTCAACTCATACAATGTTTCATAAGAAAGGAATTACGATATCATGTAGTCCATTCCTTGGCAGCTGAATTGGGAATTTTAAGTCTCAAAATTGGGAAAAATTAACATTTTTTGGCACTGGGAATGGTACCATTTATCGGTACCAGTATATAAAGAAAAAAATGTTACTGATGTTATTTGATTTGAAATGTTACATAATTTACGAATGAAAATGAAACATCTGATGCATGAATTGATCATTCGAATCAAAAGCAGAAGTACATTGTTTAAAACAATATGGAGTTATAGCTTCCAAATTTACATGCCCTTTGGATTTGTAAGCATCAGATTTCCACATGCCCACTTCCAACTTTACTAGATCCCCTGCATCAGACTACCAGGATTTTGTAGAAGACTGTATTAGTTTAAAGGCACTCAAAAGTCTTGATGGACAGACTAATGGATAAGGGAATGATGTCTGACAGATAATTGCTGCCCAAAACTAGCACTTAATAGCGAGCGCAGCCAGCTCATCACTGCGAGCTCTAACGACAACGCCTGGGCGAAGAGAAAATTTGGACTACTGCACATTCATTCAATAGAATTTTTTTCCGCAGTAATTCTGGACCCGCAATGCATCGCTTGTTGTTCTCGCTGCTAACTTCGTTCGCGCGGTATCAACAACTAAAAATTCACAAAAAATAAACTCACCTTAATTTAATGGATATTGCATACAGATAGTAGATTAAACGTTCTTTGTTAAAATCTGCACTTTTTAAACTTTGTTTATGGAAATGCAGCTAACATACTACGTCATGTGACATCACAGTCCAGACGTTCCAAATGTCTCGTGCGGTTTGAAGAGGCGGATCTTAAAATTAAGTGAACAATGCGCTCGCCCCAACGGTCGCACCATCAACATATTAACTCAACAATAAATTCTCACATTTATAGTTCAATGACAATGAATTCTCTAATGTTGTTTAATGGGCAATAACTCCTGCCTTTGCCATGACTTTCAAAAAATCTTTGAACAGTGTGCATTAACATATGAAAAAATGAAACGATTCATGTCAATAAATATGAAATCAGTAAAATGATACTTTATTTTCAACAATGCTCTTTGCAAAACGCTGTCATATGGCGCACTTAATGTTATCTAACTAGGTCGCCATCGACTTTCTTGAGTTTGTTTTGGTTTTCATTGCCCAAGGTCGGTTACAATAGCGCTTTACAAAACAGCACCCAATATTTCAAAAGAAATATTTACCAGTTAATATCTTCTGAAATTGATGATGGTGTCGCTCTGGTAAACTTAATCTTTGCAATTACGTGACACCTTCAAGATGCGCATTAAATTATATCGAAGTTGCACCACACGTGTTTCCTCCATTACAACATCTCTTCTTAGGTTCTCGCGAGACTTGAGAAAAACGGACTACTTTCTAAGGCACTTGTTATATATCACTTCGCGCGGGACAACAACAAAGATTTCACATCGTTTTTAAACTCCAAGCCGGCCTTCGGATAGGAAATTTCTTCTGTCAGAAAATAATGTAATTCCAACATACAATTCATATTTCTGCATCTTTACGAAACATTGTAGCTAATGAAAAAATCAATACCATATTATCATATGGGATTATTTATGTTAATTAGTAGGTACTGCGCCATCTTATCATGTGAAGAGGTCAAAACCAAAACATAATCAGGTGTTGTTCCAAATGACCTGTCAAGAAACTAGCTTAGAGACGAGTTCTAAATTTAAGCGCCAAAGAAAAGAAACAGAATGATGCAAGATCGATGAAAAATTATGACTGAGTAATCATTATTGAATGATCATATGTGAGAAAATCGATGAAGATGAGTTCAAATTCGAGGAATTAGGACCACCAAAATGGCTCCTGACCAGCTTCCTAAAGAAGCAACTTCATCTTCAGTGAGAAATATTAATTTGATATAACAACAAAATGGAAGTTGTTGGAGAATATGAGTACAGCAAAAAGGACCTGATAGGGCATGGTGCTTTTGCAGTTGTCTTCAAAGGAAGACACAGAAAGGTATTTTTAGAGATTGTTGCATGCCAATTTACCTAAAGGTGATAGATCAAGTGTATTTATCATTACTAAAAGTGAAATGACCTTTCTGTGGTTTTTACAGTTACTCTTTCATTCCTGTCAGTTTTCATGGTTGATTTAGATACACCTCATATAGCTAGCTATAGCTTAATTCTGGCACTGCCAGCAAAAATGAAGTCAAACATACTCTACTTATAAATAATCTGCTTTTCACATTGATAAAAACAACTTTAAAATGTTAAGATTGATAATAGACAACATGGACATGCTTTTATGTATCTGGACAAGACAACCAGAACCATTCCATTTCAACATGTGGTGTGGTGTATGATCCCTTTGTGTTCACAAAGATTTTATTGAACTTGTTATTTCAAACATTCATATGTTTATTTTTGTTCTAAAAAAAAATGTAAAATACATGTATATTTCCAATTTCATTGGAAAAACCTTTGGCAATTTGGTGTTTTCATTTGAAATATTTGACACTCTGACTGGTTTTCTTTGTCTGTTTTTGTGATCTGTTCTATTGTGTTCATGATGCTTTTGTCATTGAACATGTTAATAAACACTCTTAATTATAAATTATTCATGATATGAAATAACTAAAATTAAGAATAAGTAGATATTTGTTTATGGAATGTTCAATAACAATATTGAAAAGTGAACTGTTTGTAAACACGGAGTAAGGTGTTCCATACCTCTGCGTCATGAACTAGTGACCTACTTTACTTGTAAACATTGGAAGATATTTATAGAATATATATATATCTTTTAACAACTTATGTTGTTTAGTCACTGTTGTCAATAGAAATACGGTGTATGCCCTATTTACTTCAAAACTATTTGAAAAAAATTTCCAAGAATTCCTAAGCATTGAAATTATCAGAATGCTGTTGTGCTGCTTGCACATATCCTGTTTATACATGAATTGTTTCCTTATCTTCACAGTTTACCTGAAGAAGCTTCACACATCTAGTATCATTAAATGTGTAATGCTCAGAAATTTTAAATTATGTTATCTTAGTATATGTTTGAAATTATGACTTCATTTTCAATACTTTGTTTTTCATCACAACTTTTAGTCAAACTATCATGCACTACAAAGTTTGCAAATCTTAAAGCTTCAATTTTAAAAATAAATTTTACGAAATTCAGGCATTTCTTTATTGAGGTATGTTATGTACTGTGCATTTAAGTATTGACATCTAACATGACTATCTTATACAATTATTTACATAAATGTATGATACACGTACTTAAATATGCGAAGATTACAAATCACTTTCATCCATGAAAAGAGTTATTTTATTTTTATCTAAAAATCATTTCAGAGACCAAATCATGTGGTGGCCATTAAAAGTATCACCAAGAAGAACTTGGCCAAGTCTCAAAATTTATTGAGCAAGGAAATCAAGATTTTAAAGGTATTAAAAATGTAATTATGTTTAGAGTGTGTAATTGTGTATGACATAACAGTATCACTGTTAAGCAGTGTATACATTAAATACAGAAGGAAAGTAATGATCTCTGCAGCTGTTAATCTTGTCTCTTGGGGTTCTAGTTGAGATTTATAGATAAAACTGCTTGTTTTACATCAGTAAATAATGATAGTTTCTTAAGTAAAGAGAACCTTGAGAATAAAACACACAGTCTTATATAGTTTTATTTTGATATTGGTTGGATGGAGTCCATAATATTAAAATAAGAAATTATAATGCACCAAGACCTAAAATTGTATGAATGAGATAGAATAAAGATAGTGATTTTTTTCCTGATCATGTACTTTATGTATTGTAGGAGCTGTCAGATCTTCATCATGAGAATGTGGTTGCTCTTCTGGACTGTAAGGTAAGGGTGTAATATACTACTGTTCTCAAGCAGGAAGACCCCCTCTTCTGAAAAAAAAGGGTTTTGTCTTTTAGCAGGAAGATTTTAAGTAGTGTTTTGTAAACGTTTCTCACAAGAAAAAAAAAAAGATTCTTAAATTGCTTTACTAGTAGTGCCACTGACTTGTAAATCTTGGTAGAAGTCATTCAATAATGGATCCGAACAGTTAATTGAGGAAGTTGAATTCTTATCCTTAATAATAAGAAAATCAAAGTCTATAAAGGGAACAATGCCCGCATGTATTGTTAAATTTAATGCTTGAGCAATGTGGATACAATGATTAAAAGTAAAATCCTTAGATCATTGCATCACTTAAAGCTGATATGTGACTTTAGGGTATGATGTTTCCTGTGACGTCCAAATCCCAATTACAAGATGTAAAAATCAATATACGCAACAATCAGATGGCTGAAATAACATCATTCTCAACAAATAAGGAGATGTCGATCAATTTATTGGGCATGTAAAAATACATTTCATAGTTCTTAGTTATGAAAATTAAAAGACGTTACCCCTATGATATGAAGGGATGGGACCTTATTGTGATCATATATAAATTTCACTAATTGTACCGGTATGTCAATTGGGTGCATGATTCAATATATTACACATTTAATGAGATAATCTAAGTTTGTCATATTTAATGATGAAACATTAACAGCAAGATCTCATACAGGAGATTGTGACCTGGTGATAGATATGATATTGTAAAATTAGATTATATAATCATGTCACATTCTAAGTTCATGTAACAACAGTGATGTAAGATTATGTTAGTAAGCCACCAGAGTTCATACTGAACACATTTTCCCTCGCACAGGCATGTTTTCTGAGTTTATAAATCAGGTATTTTAGTCCATAAAAGATATGGCTAATGGCTATCCTTTGTTGGGTTTTAAATCCTCTGTTGTCTGGGTCACTGTGTTGGGGTTACTCTAAGGTTATGAAGTCCTCCTCAGTTCTTTTTTATAACAAATGTCACATAGATAATCCTAATCTTTATCTCTCCACTTAAATATTATGCTGATTAACAGATAAAAGTATGATAGGGTAGTTGTGTTTGGCACTAATAATACTAATTTATAAATTGATGAAGGCCGGGGCAAAAAATGAGAAAATCTGTCATGAAGAAAATGTGTAAAATTTAGTCATTATTTGACATTTATAACTGTGCAGATTTCTGTTCATGTCTGATATTTTTGTGGGCAATAATTTAGTGCACTTGTCTATTTAGCATACACCTTCCATTAATTATCATTTAATTTTAACTTCATATTATCATCTTCTATTCATGATTTAGTCAAAATTGTTTGACTTTTCTATTAAGTTTATAATCAGCATTTTCTGAGGAACATACAGAATGCAGTTAAGTAATAGCAGATGTTTATAAAAGATTGACAATGGGAGGGTCTGTGTGATAAATCAATTCTAACTGTTTGACATTATGGCGTTGGTCATGTGATCAACAGCTGATCACTCCATGGACCTTTAATGATTTCCTTTGTTAAGAATCATTCATGCCTGAAAAATGATTGCATACATGGTTACAAACAAAAACTTTTAATTTGTTCTTCTGCTTTATATAGTGTTAATTATCCCATAGGTTAAAGTTTATTAAAATTTTTTAAAAATTAAAAGTTTTCAATGAATAATTAGACCCAGTATTTTCTTTCTTGATTTCACCACCCTTGTGTAACTCCTAGTTTACATTTACTAGGTGAATAAGTGACGTATAAAAACCTGGGTGAACAGTGTAAATATTTATCTTTTAGTATTCAAAACATGCAACAATTACTGAGATCAGCCCCATATATAGCCTGCATGGTAAAGGTATGACAAAATGCCTATATATGTATATAGGTCACATAAAAAAGGTTCTAGGTCAGTGGTGGGTTATATATAAATAACAGCTGAGTAATGATGGGCAGTGGGGCTGAATGGTCACTGACGGTGGTTGCAATAATAAATAAATTTGTGGGTTAAAGACACTTCAGACAACCAGTAATACTGCAAGTAAGCAGTGGCAATAAAATATAGATGATTTACAGGTATATTTCATGCTAACAATAAAAAGTGCTCCACAGATGTGTTTGTGATAATTAACACCTACACACATTATTTTCAAATATATATTGATTCTTTACTGAATGCTTGATATGTTTGATTTACAGTACATGATGTCTCTTAACTTATTTAAAACTTGTCTAAACAAATTGCATAAGGTAAAAGCAAGGTGCATGTTAGTTCAGTCAATACCCTACCTTTGCTGACCTTGAAGGTCAAATAACTCAAACATAACCTCACATGCAGGGGGCAATGTTCTCTGAATTCTTGCAGTAAAACTTCTGTTTTTTTTTCAGTGTTATTTCACTGTGCAAATATAACTTGGTTAGGTAACTTAAAGATAAGATAAGATCAATGGGGAATTCAAAAAAAGTCTGCTAAAAACAAATGCTTTAATTATAGGAAAAATATATGATACAGTCATTCAAATAATGAAATTTATTAAAGAAGAATTTTATGTACCCTCAATGTATTATTGATATTTTTTTCAAATGGAAAGTTACTATTTTGTGGAAAAATAAACATCTCAACCTGCTGTTCTAGAAATTCCCACTGTCAACAAATAGATTTTTTTTCTGAGTTTCAAAAATATGAGTTTTAGTCCTACAAAAAAAAAATACACTTTTGGCACAGTATGTGCAATTTGCCCCACATTTATTTTTAAATACACATCTGCATAAAAAAAATTACGTTGTTTTCTTTCTTCCAATTGTTTTTGCCAACTTGCTCTGTTTTGTGGACAGTTATAATGTTGGCTTACTAGCCTTACATGTCTACAACAACAGTTCATGTCAGAAAGGAAACTATTAGCAGCTATAGAGTACATGTATTGGTGATTATGAACAACAGGATTGGTACAATGAATTATCAAGAATGCTTATATAATGTATTAGATATTTGGCATGTCCAGATAAAGTCCTAGCTAAAAACAACAGCTTTATCTACAGTATTATTTTTTTTTACTGTACCATCAGTTATTTCTTAAAATATATTAATGTTCCATTTATTCCATTATCAGGCATTTTGCATCTCTATAATATGTTACCAAAAAGGGCATCTTTTGAGAAGCATGAAAACTGCATAAATGATAATGGCTAGTTTTCCTTGAAATTTAATATGAAAGTCTTTCTAAGGTTATACATCTGTCTTATAGCTACAGGGCAAAGCTAATGGGGCATACACTAGATCAAAGTTCTAACTTTTATTTTATGAGGTTATTTACTTTAATTCACCTGTTGTATACAGTCCAAGGAGACTTTTTCAGTGCCCGTTGTTGTTATGTAAACTGTTGGTCAGGTATGTCTTTATCTCCAGGCTGTCAGCTGATTGTGTTGCCATCAGCTGATTGTGTTGACACTTTTAGTTCTGATCACAGTCTAATGTTAAGGATGTAATGTTATATAATGCCCCTTGTTTCTGTTTTTGTTTCTCTGTAAACAAGGTTGTGAGACACAATACTGATAAGATGAGACAAAGCTGCTGATTTGACAGCCAGTGTTTGGGAAAATTGTGAAATTATCTTCATTGTCTGATAAAATGACTCCATTAACACAAGTATAACAGTACAATTACATGTTGGTATTTCTGTGCAAGAGTATAGTTATTTTGGGTAAACAGTCAAAATATTTGTGCTCTATAATTCAATTAGATTTGGCTTCTTGCAGAAAAAGTTGTGATGAGCAATGAAATCTTTTAAATAATTCATATTTACAGTGAAATGATTTGCAATAAGTAGAAGGCAATATCATGATTTATGAGCTTTCCAAAGGTTTTAATTCAGGATTTATTAATTTTGTCTGTCAACAACTTTAACCTTTCATTGCCCTATTGAAAAACCATGTAGGACATATAGAATTTATATTTAGACATGGTGAAGGACAAAGTAGGGGGCTTTATGTTCAAGATGATAGGTGAAGGTCGAACTAGAGCCATCTCCCTAAGGAAATTGAAATATGGGTTTTGTGATTTTATGAATTTTAGATAAGTCTCTTTTTAGTAAATATACCGTAATACTGTTGATTTAATTTGTTTGAACAAGACACAGACCTGATACTTAAATATTTTTTTTTTATTGTAGGAAACAACCAACCATGTTTACCTGGTGATGGAGGTAAATAATTATTATTACAGTATTAATGCACTGATGTTTACTTTGTAATATGTAGATCTAAAACAACCTCCATCTTTGATGCCATTGGGTTAATAGTTTGGATGAAAGCTTGCAATAAATATCTGTGTCTTGTTTATTATTTGATATTTGCTTGACTGATTTTGCAAAGTCTTACAAAATTATTATTTCTAATTCAGAGTTTATATCATATATAAGCATACCACTAGAATAGAACAATCAATACAAGAGCTCTGCACCTATGAGAGAAAATTGCTTAATATTACACATAAATGTCTACCATTGTCCCACTGCAAATATATGAACTGTATGAGGAATTACATTCCCCAACAATATCATAGTAAGTCATTGATTTTCCCTTGTAGTATTGCAATGGAGGAGATCTGGCTGACTATTTACAGGGTAAGTCAAATTGGGGGGAATGTTATGAAGGACTTTATTTTGTATCTACACACACTGAATGTTGTACCCTGGATATTAACTATAAGGTTGAAGTGTAAAGAAGCATTGAGAAATAGCACTAACATGTATAATATCTGCTCGTATAAAGACATTGGGAGTATGTTATCACATAAAGAGAGTTTTTACTTGATTCCTGTGTGCTGGGTGATTCAATTATTATTATTATTTTTTTTTTTTAGCTAAAGGAACACTGAGTGAAGATACCATTGCTGCATTCCTCAGACAGATTGGTAAGATACCACTTTATAGAAAACATCGAGATCTTATCATACAGAATGTACAGTTATCTTAGAAAGAAAGAAGTCTGAACAAACAGTGCAGGAATTTATAACAAATGAAATAATTTATTGTTGATTAGAATGATTATTAATCAATGGTTGTATTACAGCTGCTGCGATGAAAGTGATGAATGGGAAGGGTATTGTCCACAGAGATCTGAAACCACAGAATCTCTTGCTCTGCAATGATGGCAAGGCTAACACGCCCTCCACTGAAATGAGGCTCAAGATTGGTAAACTATCAACCCTTCTTTGCTGATTAATGAGACTGTGTAATATTTTATTCCAAAACATGCAAAGACTGGAAAATGATTGATTAGTTGTAAAGCATGATTGTGCTGTTATAACATAGCATCTTATTTTGATGTGTTTTTTATGGTGCTCAGCTATGATTTATAGATCAAATTAGATTTTATTACTGTAAGATATAATTAACTTTATATAGATTATTCCCTGTTTATAAGATTTCAATGATATTATTTTATCATCAGCTGACTTTGGGTTTGCACGTTTCCTCAATGATGGTGTGATGGCTGCCACTTTGTGTGGATCCCCCATGTACATGGTGTGTATTAAATTTTAGAATAGATGATTTTCTGGTTTGTTTTACCAAAACAAAAAGAAAAGAAGAAGTTACAATTTAGAATAAGTTAACTAAGGCAGGGATATTTTGAGAAGCTCTGCTGTAGTTTACATGAGTTCATCCACTACTTTTTGTTCTGTAGGCGCCTGAAGTGATTATGTCTCTGCAGTATGATGCTAAGGCCGATCTGTGGAGTATAGGCACCATTGTTTTCCAATGTCTGACTGGCAAGGCACCATTTCAGGCACAAACTCCACAGCAGCTCAAGCACTTCTATGAGAAACATGCTGAACTCAAACCAAAGTAGGTCATAGAAATAGTTGACATTACTTGCTGCATTAGAACATTTAATGTTTCATCTTAATTGTACTTAGATAATTAAGTCTATATATGTTATATGTTGCCTTAATTTTTTTACTTATAAAAATATAATAGTCATCTTAGAAAATATAGTTTTGTAATCTAATGATTCAGAGTAACTATTGGTGTTAGTTCTCTCACAGCTCTTTAACCAAGTTTTAATTTATAATGTTACCTGTCTGTTTGCAGTATTCCCAAAGATACTTCACCAGAACTAAGAGATTTGTTGATGAAAATGTTAAAAAGAAATGCTAAGGATAGGATAGAGTTTGGTAAGATAAAATATTCCTTTATGTACAGGTGTATCATAAATTTATTGTTCCATTGTTTCAATTAATTATTGAACAATATCTTTCTTTTTCAGAGGAATTCTTCACACATCCTTTCCTTAAACCCCCAGGGCAGTCAGCTACTGCTTCTTGTAAGTATTTGAAACTACTCTTAATGAATGTAATAAGTGTATAATTCACACCTATGAATGAGATCAGGTAGTGAATGTGGGGTATTGACTGATACCTTGTATTCTAGCCTCACCTGTACCGGTCCCTGGTAGAACTTCACAGGGATGCTCATCAGAGAGCCCCACCCCTCCCAGATGTGTGTCTGCATCCCCCTTATCAGGGAAGGCCGACTATTCCACCCCTCCTTCCAAGGTAAACATGCTGTTTTGTGCAGTTTGTGATGATTAGTTTGTTTCCTACAGGTGCTTGCTTTTCAGGTGTGGATCTGCTTTGTCAGAATTCAGGTGTTTACCTATGCAGAAGCTTTGTAGCCTTCTTTCTAACAATGAAAAATGATGAACTATTGAAATTGAATTTGTCCACCCCACAAAAGTTTTAGAACAATGCGAGTACTTTCATTTATTCCTTATATTTTGAAATAAATAATGCATATGCTCTCCTCTTTGTTTAGGTTGTACAAATGATTAAACAGCAGGAGGTAGCAGAAGCTATGTCATCAAATGAAGGAGAGTTCCTCAAAGTCGATAAGGGACCAACTCCACGCAGTAATAGTCCCACTGAGGTTAGCGGCTCATCTTTTATGGCTTTGTGATCTCTTAGTATTATTTTTATATATTAAGCCAGCAAAATAATAAAGGCATTAGGACATCTAAGTTTGTAAATTTTAAATTTTCTTTAGCATGACTTTGTGCTTGTGCCAGATGGAATGAGTGATCACTCAGATGGCAGTGACAAAGGAGGAATTCCCTCAACAGAAGATTTACAGAAACTTGGGTAATTGATCTGTTAAAAAATAAAAAGCTGCCATATTCCATCTATACAGCAAAAATTAATTATATTAAATCCTTTAGACTCTCTAGGCAAACTCTAAGATTATAAATTATAGAAATAAATTTGGTTTTTCAAGTGAGCGCACTCCACCTCGGGTTGTGAAAGTAGAGCCCCAGACAGGGTCTGTGGCATTTAAAAAGGACTCCTCTGGTATGTCCAGTCCAAGTCGACCATCAACACTGCCCATGCAGGCTCAGAACCAGTCAGAGCCTATTCCAGTACCCACCCAGGTGAAAGCCTTTGAGAGAATCAGATCTAGTAACTCCCCCCTCTCCAGCCCTCGCAAGTCTGGAATGGAAATCTCCCCTGTAGACTCAGCAAAAGTAAGGAACTAGTTTAATATATTAGAGATCCATTTTTATATTTTACATACATTGGCTTAATTTTAATTTTATTTAATTTTATTTTTTTTTTCCTTAATTTTTATTTCCTAGACAATCTGATTTTGTTTTAGGTTGCATATCACATCTTTCACTGGTATCTGTTTTTCTCATTCTGTGGTAATTTTGTAGATGTCTAGTCAGAACATCAAGATGTCACCCCAGTCAGAAAGAAAACCATTTTCTGCCCCAGACATTGGATCATTTTCACCTCCAACAGGTACTTGGAAAAAAAAAAAATTGAACTTTGTTGGGGGAAGAACCCTAGGAAAAGCTTAATGTTGTTAATTAAATTCATTACCTTTTATTCTTTTGATAATTATATCAAATGTAAAATCTGTGTATGTTGTAGTGAAATTCTGTGTTGGCACTCCTCCAAGCATCTCCCAGCCATGGAGGAGAGGCAGTATCGGCAGCTCTCAGGGTGGGGCCCAGTTCCATCCAAGCAATGTCTCAAACTCACCCAGCCGTAGAGCAAGTAAGACTGTCATTGAAATGCATATCATGCTAGTCTGCTTTTAACAAATTGTGTGGTTTCTCTGTTGTTTCAAGTTAATATGTGCACAAAATTCATCAATCATGAGCACATAACAATCTCATTCACTTAGGTATGGGTAATTCTCCTAAGGGTTTGACCCCGAACTTTTCAAGCCCTGGGTCATTGCCCACCATCTTGGATTCACCTCATTTTGAGTTTAACCATGAGCCTCAGGTCACAGACAATATGCCCATTGACCCAGTCAGGGCGCCGTTTGGACAAAGTAGACCCAAGGCCATTTCAGAGAGTAAGGGTACAAAGAGGTACAATCCAGGGGAGGGTAAGTCTTCACTCATTCATCTACATCTATCATCCTCTTCTATTCTGCAAGTAGATTTAGTGTTTGGTGTTTCAAATGTTAACATCATACATACATACATGCATAGCTGTTATGTGAAAGATTGCATTTGTTTGCACTAAAACATGCAAGAGTGATTTACACATTAACTTAATGATCTAATTAATTGTGTACTACTTGGTGTGTGTAGTTGAATGAATTGATTACAAATATAGTAGAATTAATATTTCTAACACATTTAACATATAGTGGGTGCTGACTGTTGAATATTTATTGCAGTGGATAGGGTAAAGAGAAACTTAATGGAACGATGCAATACTGACCCAGGGGCCTCAGGGGGCAGCAGTATGTTGTCACAGCAGATGAAAGTCAATTATTTAAACCAACAAGGTAACTCTCTCTGTAATAATGTAAACTTTGTTAATGGACCAAGGTGCGTCATGAAAACTCCATTTTGGCTCCTAGCCACCATGTGTAATGCAAAATTTGATGTGACATAATTTCAGGACTAAATCAGTTGGAAGGACAGGTGATGAGATACACAAGCAATGAGCACCTGGTATCCCCCAATGATAACACCATCCAGATGGAGACCCAGAGGTCAGGGTCTTATCTTAGGAGAACAATGAGCGCCACATCACCAGGCAACAACATGATTTTTGCTAAGTCACCACCTAACATGGAGGGACCTGTAGCCTTTGTGGCCCCAGGACTGGCTGAGGAAACTCTAATGGGAGTAAGTTCTGTTTATTTGTCTCAAAAGGCTGCAAGAGTGTAATGAGATATGAAATAGTAAGAAGTAGGTAAAGTAGTGAAAATTGGACACAACAATAAAAATAGTGTTATATTCAGTGTTAAATGTAAAAATTAATGTGATAGTATCATATGAACTGATATTTAATGATGGTTTTGTAGGATAACCACAATGAAATAATGGCTAAACTGAGTTTTGTCAATGATCTGGCTGACTGTGTGATGGAACTAGCCATGGCAAAAGGAGCTCCACTTAACACACTGTCAGATTCTGTCAACTGGAAACAGGTAAGCTGTTTACATGTAATCAAGTCGTTATCGATATAAAATGTCAAAAAATCACAGCTCATTTGAATGCACATTTGTTCCCTATTTCAGGGTGAGGGGCCACTACAGGGAGAACAAATGCCAAAGTTTATTGAAGCTCAAAGGTACTTAATGAATACAGAGGCAGTCTTGTATACATGCAGTAATCTAGTTATACAGCATATGTACTTAGATTTGCATATTTTTATTACATTATACTTCGTAATGTATTTTTATATCATAGAGAAGCAAAAGCAAAAGGTTTCAGTATATTTCAGTACATTTATAGTACCCCATATTCTTCATGGTAGATGCCCTTAAAATTTTGTAAAGTACTGAATTTAATTTCAGTGTATTGGTTTGTTTGACAAGTATTACTCCATACTTATATTTTTCATGGTAGATGCCCTTAAAATTTTGTAATGTACTGAATATAATTTCAATGTATGATTGGTTTGTTTGACAGGTTGCTAGAACAGCTGGTTCTGTATGTCAGATCTCTACAGCTGTTATCCTCCTCATTACAACTGGCCAGGAGGGAAATTAAGGACGAGAGGCTGCAAATCTCTAATGCCCTTAAAACTTGTAAGTCACTTCTAGAGGCTGCAAATCTCTAATGCCCTTAAAACTTGTAAGTCACTTCTGGAGTCTGCAAATCTCTAATGCCCTTAAAACTTGTAAGTCCCTTCTCACGATTTTACATGATTGCCATGTAAGATGACATTCCAAGAAAGTTTAATTTAAAAAATCAGACTGAAATTGATTTAAATTTTCTCAAGTGTTGGTATTGACAATATTCTTCCTATAAGCAAAGTCTTAAATATTTTTTGATTTAACATGCATCCTGAAGTTTCTGTACCTGTGTGGTCTATGGGGAGATAACTTTCTCTAACTTTTGTAGTGTTGAAGCAGATGAATGAGCGTTACCATCGTTGTGTGTCTGTCTGTAAACATATTCAACAGAGGCTGGGTATCACGATGCAGAATGCCCTTACCCCACAGGTTGTCATAGCAACTGCTGACAAACTCATCTATAACTACGCCATTGAAATGGTAAGATTTAGATCTATAGAAATATCACTGTACAGATTCAAGGGGTTAACTATAAGTTGCAAAAACTTTTATTTTACTCGATAAAACTTAATGACTTAATGATACATGTATCAATTTAATAAGAAACAAGTGTCTTGCTTGTTTTAATAAAAATAAAAATAAATGATTTCTTTTTTTTTTTTTTAGTGTCAAACTGCTGCTTTGGATGAATTGTTTGGAAATCCTCAAGAGGTAGTCTGTTTATGAAGGATTATTAACACGGGTCATTTAAGCTGAGTGTAATTATAAAAGTATTAAGTGCTGTATGAAATCATACCATTTAGGGGGAAACAATTATGAATTAATTTAAAGGTTGACATACAATTTTATTCGTTTTTGTTCTGATAAAACTGCATGTGATTTCTTTCAGTGTTTTAAGCGATACAACACAGCTCACATTCTTCTCCATAGTTTGTCTCAGCAAGCAAGAAACAGCAATGATAAACAGCTTCTCAATAAGTGTAAGACTCTTGTTTTGGTTTTATTATAATAAGCAAGCAAGAGAAAAACTCTAATAATGGCTCCTCTAAAGCTAAATTAAGGTTATTGTCCCTAATACTAACTTGGCTTAAGGACAGATGATACAAACAAAAAATGGATGCCTGGATTGGTATATATTTTTGGACCTATGTTGACTGTAAATGATTAGAAAAATAAATTTCTGAAATATTAAGAAATTGTAAACTTTCTATGATGTTCAAAATATAACCTTTCTGCAACCATCCTTATTAATCTATACAACTTTTTGTCACTTTAAATCCTATTATTGTGAAATTTTGAATAAACAATTAAAATCTATGTGGTAAAACTTATTTATTTTACTTATATAAACATGATTTAAGTAGTTATTTTCAAAACTTTTGATAAAAGTTTGTTTGTATCATCTGTCCTTAAGCAATTAAAAAAATATTTTGAGAAATCTTCAGTTTATGCCTTTAATAATTGAAAAAGAATATCTTTTACAGTTTATGCCTGCATATTTAAAATGCATATACTTCAAGAATTGTTTAAAGGCAATACTCAGGTGCTCTGGTTCTTATAAATTTTTTGACTTCTAAATTCTCATTTAGACAAAGAAGCAGTGGAGAGAAGGCTTTCACATATACACTCACAAGACTTCTACCCGAAGTATGAAGTCAGCTGATAGCAGGTGCTTGTAACGTCACAGAGTAGACTATACAGAAAAGGAGTGTAATCGAAGAAATAAAAAATGACAAGCAGGATCATTTTCATGCTTATGTATACAGTTTTGAACGGACAAAAATGTGACAAAAAAATTTATAAACAATTAAAAAAAAGACATTAATAATGCCACAACTGCCTATCAACATAAAGGTAAACTATATTTGACAGAATGGAAACAGCAATACTCAGGGATGACAGCTTGGCTCCAGACTCATTTGAATAAGGAAGCACTGGGCTGTCTGAATGCATTGTATCAAAAGGAAAACGGAATGATATTATCTTTACTAAAAGAAAAACTGCAGAGGAAAGGGATTGTGTAATATATCTCTGATGTTATACACCTAGATTGACATCCTGTGTAAACTTCTTAATTGTCAGGGTAACCTCTGCATTCTGAAGTGTTATAACTATAATGGTGTGGAGATTTATACAAACATGTTTATATGGTCCTTGGAATTGTGACTTTTAGACATTGAAGACAGACAAATGGTACTTATATAGCAAATAAGTGTATAGTATTAATTTTTTAAGCTCCACCAAGTTATATCACACAAAAAATTTAAAATTTGTTTTGCTGTAAGACTTCTGTGAAACTTTATGACAAGAGAATGAGTAAGCATATCTAAATGATGCATTGTTTTGCTATTATTTGCCAAACCTTATCCCTCCACATTAATTTATTGAATTGTCTCCCTTGTGTTCAGTGTCTTGCCAGCCTATTGTTTTGTTTAAATTTGTAGACTTTTCTTCATGTTATGCATTTTTCTCTCCTTCATTCCATGCCTGTATAATTATGCCCTTAATATGAAGTAAACTGTAGTTTATTTATCCATTGAATCATCAATAATGTGCTAAATTTAAAGCTTTGCTAACTTTAAGTGCTACAAATGTAAAAAATCTTACTGCCTTAATTACTTTTACTCAGCATTTAGCAATAATTTCATCCTACACCAACATGCATCAGTGAAAACATTTAGCTTTGTTGGAGCCCGTGTACTTACCATAATACCTTATCTGCTGTCTGAAGCATTGTACATAATTCATCCTGAAGACTTGGAAAAGCTGTCAAGTTGTGATAACTCTTGTACCACTGTTTTGTTTTGTAGATGATCAGCTTGGATCTACATGTGTATTGTGTAGGTTACAGCAGGTATATTTGTTTTTTGTGTAGATTACAGCATATTTGCTTACACATTTTGTAAATACTTGTGGCTTATCCTGTTTCTCCCAGTGTTGTCTGTATTCAAGGATACAACAAGCTTTTTAAGGATTCTTTGTTTATTTGTAGATATGTAATTATCATTGCTAGTCATACAATGACATATGTTAAAAAGTTGTATGGCTAATTGAAAGCATGAAACAAAATAATCATTATGAGTAAAAGGAACAAAGAATTTTTAAGATGCTTTGTTTGCCATAAGGAATTAGATGATTTTGTTGAAGTAACTTGATTATAGTTTACGTATTGGTCTTTCAGTATTTTGTTATTTGTGATTTTATTGTTTTGCCGTATGAATGCTTATTTATACAAAAAAATTTGATATATGGGTATTGTATACAACTTGTCAGAGTTTGACCAGTTGGTAAATTAACACGAGCTATGGGATGATATGAGGGATATTACAGAAATTTTATGTTGTTTTATAGTTTTAGATTGTCTTTCATGTTTTAGTAGTGGCTTTGTCTATTTGAATTATTTTATTCTTTGCCCATGCAAAAATTCCAGATTGTTTTAAACTTTCATTGTATGCAATGAAATATTTAAATTAGAACTCTTAGGAAATGTTCACCAAATCCAACAATATTGTGATATACAGATTACAGTGAGTAGATCACTGTGATGGATGACCATGGATTGTGATATACAGATATAAGATCACTTTATATAACGACCAGTCCAGGATTAATTTGTAATCGGGAAGGAGAAGAAGTGCCAAGCTCCTGCAGAGTAGATTCTATTTCTCTAGTCTTTCATTGGCTTGAGAACCACTTGTGTTCCACTGTGTAGTACATGTACCTTTGTATTACCTCATTCTTAGGACTGAGATTTGTACATTGTATGAATGAAATAAATGATTTTAAAAAGTCCAATTTTTCTTGTCATTGTCTGGTGATAATCCTGAAGATGGATACTGCCAGTAAGTTGCAGTAAGTTGCTTTATAGAGATCTTTTACTTTAATCAACATGTCACTGTGAAAACCTATATTTTCTAACGGGTATATCTCATGGGTTTAATTTTCTAATGGGTATATCTCGTGGTTCACCCCTTATCACCCTGTCCACAAATTAACAACCCAGAGGAATTAAACGGGATTTATGTAATGTTTCCTACAATCTGTTTTGAAAGCATGTTTCCACAAAAGCATGTACTCATAAAATTAAAAATAATATAATTGAAAACTCGGCACATTCTTTATATGGAAACACAATTTTCCCAGTATTGTTTATTTATAAATGCATGATTCAACAATTCTTCTCATGTACCAAAATATTAACATAGAAATTGTGTCCTGACAAATTTTCTGAACATTAGAGACATACCATGATGTAACTCCACATAGGTTGAGGAGTTAACCATGCTCTTAAACTAAACATGTACAAACTTCTGAGATAATCCATCTCTGATGAAAATGGAAAAGAATAAAGACAGCAGCATCCTTAATACAAAGTACCTGTACTGTAAACGAACTTTTATTTGCTTGCGAGAAATATTCGCGCGTTTTGTGATCTTGATTTACTCGCGAATAATTCTCGCTGTGAACTACAGGTATGTATTTCATAGTGTATTTGTGAATAATATTCTCTTTGTCCCAAAAATTAGCACATAGATTTTAAACTGACAAATCTCAAATAAAACTTGTCGCAAATAATAGCTGGTTTACAGTAGTTACTGGCAAACCTTCAAGGACTAACACAATTGCTTTGTGTCATTTCTTCTATTGAATCAAGATATGATTAAACTATGACTTGGATAATTATTAGTTATTTTTGTGTTTGCTGTGATTATATTACAACTTGCACCATTTTTTCAATGGAATTTTTCACACTAATAACATTAATACATGTACACTAAATGTCTTGGGTGATTTTTTTTTTACAACAGAAATCTTTGCATTAAATAATTTACAAGATGAGAATTTTCCTCATTTTCATGTATAGAAACTGAATACAATTTATTGAATATGAAACATCTGACAACAGATCCTGAATGCAAAGCACTCATAAATAAATGCTATACAGTAAAACAAATTCTGGGGGAAAAAAATAGAAGTCTCTGATGAGACTGTAGCTCTACTGGTTTGTATTTGTAATAAAGGGAAAAAAGTAGCACCAGGACCAGGGATTTTCCACTGCCCCATGTAGGGCTGAATTTATAGGCCCGATTCCTTTTTCCCAATAAAATAACTGTGTGTTACAGTCAGAGTTGAAAATCAGTAAAATTATTTAAAATTTTAAGATGCATTGTTCAAATGATGCATTGATCAATCAACTCTTTGATAAAAAGTTCTAATTAATTAAATAATTTTTAAAACTCAATTTTATTCATCATAAGTGTTTATTTCTTGAAAATTGTCATGTGATAAAATTTTCCAATCAGTGATTAAATGTCATTAAATTCCCAATTCCAAGGGCCCAGGCCCCATTCCCAAAATGTAGTGGAAAATCCCTGAGGACTTAAACTTAGAAACTGGCAACACCAATTAATAAGAAGTATGATCCTTGGATTAGTTTACTTGTGCATCAAGATTTATTCAATTCAGACCAAAAGCATAGGAGGGGCATTTTTGAAAAAAAATTCCAACATTATCCTATATTTAATAAACATTGAAATAATGCTTATCTAAATCAAAAACCAATAATAAGAATAAATTGCTATTTCTAAAATCAAACCAAAACTGTATGAGGAATAGTGTTTTCAAAGAATTTCACAGAAATTTCTACTTTCAGTAACCATGGCAACATCATTTGTCAAAATCAAAATCCAATACACAGAATTTATATATAGTTTATTTGTGTAGCAGGTCTTACTGAAATCAGACCCAAACTGTAGGAGGAGTAGCATTTTGAAGAATTGTATGTAAACAGACAGACAGATGGAAGGATGACAAACACTTTACCAATGCATAATCTCTTCTTGTCTCTAATCAGTATAGTAACAAGAGGCCCATTGGCCACATTGCTCACCTGCACATTTTGGCTAGAGAAAAAAGCAGAAATCAGTCATTATTGAAAAGTTTAAATATAAAAGTGGTCTGTTGAAGGGGGGGGGGGGGGGTTTCATGATTTGAACAAACTTGCATCTACACTACCTGAGGATACTTCCAAATTTCTAGGACTAATCATGGCTTATGTAGATTTTTCAAGATTTTTTCTTTTATTCTATTGTAAAACTATGATCACCCATTGTGGCCCCGGGGGTCATTATTTGAACAAACTTGAATTTACACTACCTGAGGATATTTCCATATGAATATGACAAATCATAGCTTTGCTGTCCTTGAGAAGAAAATTTTTAAAGGTTTTTCTATGTATTCCTTTGAAAAACTATGATCGCCTCCGTACAACTGAGGGTCAAGATTTGAATGAATTTAAATCTACACTACCCGAGGATGTTCCCAGACAAATATGAACAATCATGGATTTCCTGAAATGAAATTTTTAAAGATTTTTCCTGTTTTCCTACGTAAAACTTTGATGTCCCATTGTGCCCCCCCCCCCCCTACAGGGGGACATGATTTGAACAAACTTGATTCTACACTACCTGGGGATGCTTCCATATAAATATGACCAACCATGGCTTTGCTGTACTTGGGAGGAAGATTTTTCCAATGTATTCCTATGTAAATTTTGATGGCCCATGATTGTGTTCCCTCCTTACCCCTGGAGGTCATGATTTGAACAAACTTAGATCAACACTACCTGAGCATGGTTCCACATAATTTTCAACTCTTTTGGCTGACAGTGGTTCTTTAGATTTTTTTAAAAGATGTCATTAATTTTTCACTAATTTGTAATTATCTCCCTGTGGAAGAAGATGTGGCCCTTCATTTGAAGAAACTTATACCCCCTTTATCCGAGGATGCTTTGTGGCAAGTTTGGTTGATATTGGCCCAGTAGTTCTTGAGAAGAAGTCAAAAAATGTGAAAAGTTTATGGACAGATGGATGGACAGACAGACTGACAGATGGATGCTGGACAAAATGTGATCAGAAAAGATTTCTTGGGCCTTTGGCTCAGGTGAGCTAAAAATTATAATAGGGACATTTCATAGATCTCGCCAAATTAAATATCTGTTCATATGAAATATATTACCAATCATGAAATTAGGAAATACTTTGGTTTCTGATGGTATATTTACATCCACTGAATATTTTCTCTTTATTATTTTTTTTTTATAAAAACTACTTCCCTTTATCAATCCATTAATTATAAACTAGTTAAAACCAGTTTTTTTAAAGCTTCTTGCATCAAAGATTTCTTAATTAAGCAGTGACTCTTCCATCAATGAAACATACTAAGATGTACAGATCAATAATTACAATATCTTACACACTTAAACCTACACTCTATGATTATGTGTATTGATGTAAATTTAAACAATAAAACTATTCTTTGTTTGTTAATGCAGGATTATTAGTTGCAACCATTGCAGAAAAAATTTACATAGCCCTTGTAAGCAGGATACGTACCGTGGTATTTTTTTCTGCAATGGTTGCAACAGTTGATTACTGCATTATAAATAAAGAGGGCATTTTATTGTTTCAATAAAAACACAGAAGCAGATGGTAATGTGCATGGATGATGATGAACCTAAATGTTATCTCATGAATCACTATGGTTCAGATGTATATAGATAATCTTAAACTGTTAAACATATAATTTCTCATACAAATTATACCCAAAACCAAGTAACAGCAAGAAAATTATACATGCTAATAGACTTAAAAGTGTTACTCACTGTCTTGACATTGGTGAATATAAAAAAAACTTAAAAAACAAATGTAACATGACTACAATAATTTCTCTGTTCTATCCATCCATTCAAAATAAACATATTTGACAGAAATTATATCTCTATAAACTGTCCAGTTGTTATAACAACAATAACATCTCAAAATCAGTGATGTATTATAAACAATTAACCTCAATACTGTTATTCATTGCATTCATAGTCTAAATCACAGCTAAGAAAAGTCGGATTGCATCTTCATTTTACATCAATATGATTAATGACTTCAGAGTTTTCAGAGCTTCTGTCTTTAAGACAGTTTTATTTTTCAAACATGAACAACATTTATCAATGAAAATGATATACATGTACATGTATGTACCCTGCATTTGATGAATTGCACAGTAATTGTTAATGTTAAAACTAATTTTACAAATATCTGTAGTTTGATAATTAGATAATATACACATTTAGGTTTATATTTCAGATTTTAAAAAAAAAAGTGTCTTCCTCTGAAGAGTTTAAATTTATCTGGAGTAAATTAATAGTTTTCTACGCATGGTCACCTGCATCACTAATCATGGATACCATATATAAAGTGAAATATCAATAATCCATAAAAATCTTTTACAAAAATTTTAATTTGGCAGTATTTTTGGCAGCTTTAATTTAAATACTCTTAGAAAAATAATCTAGGTTTCTTAAAACAGAAACATACCGGTATATAATAAATTTCTTTGTTTGCCAAAAAAAAAACAAACAAACAAACAAAATAAAAAAAACCCAAAACAAACGGAATATGAAAGAGCAGAACTTTTCAGCAACTGCAGTATTGATATATATTAAGAAAAGTGTTTTTCAACTATAAACATGGGCACTTTTTTAGATTCCATCCTCCACTAAAAAAATGTAAATGTCCTTTTTTCCTTGTGGGATTAATTTACGCTATGTACACATCACAAATATTCAGAGAAAATTTGTTGCAGCATACTTAAAGTGAATTTGAGACATAAAATGGCAATCTAAGAAATCCCCATAATTTTTATCGACGGATTCATCCAAAATTGTGATTCTACGGAATTATGAACCTGTGGTGTAAAGTACATTTACAGTAATTGAAGTCAAAAAAAAATTCATTTGTATTTGATTGACTGCAGTGTTAACTAGTACATAACACTATAATTCTTCATGATCCCCTTCAGATTTCTCTGTTGTAGTGGTTACATCATCTGTCTGTCTCTTTGTTGTAGTGGACACATTGTCTGTCTGACTATCTGTGTTTTCCTTCATCAAGTCTGCATACACAGCCCTGGGGTCTGACATCCAGTGTTTGTGGAATGATAGAGGAGTTCTGGCAGCCAGGAAGTCTAAACTATAGTCTACTGGTCGAGCCTGCATTCAAATGTGTTATCCATTAAAAAAACTATGCATCAAAAAAGACTCAAAATTATCTCTATGAACTTGAAGAGAAAATTAATAATGAGTGAGCTTCTTCAAATGTGTCACCTGCAGGGATTTAGACGCTGGGTCATTTTGTTTATATTCTTTAAAATATGTCTTCTGTCAATGTGATTATAGTGAGGGACTGAAAATTTAACAATTTCGATATGATAGTAATATGACAAGTAGAAACTCTGTCAGTATGCAAATACTTTAACAAGAATGTGAAAGTTGACAAGTGGAAACATTGAAGAATATTAGACAATATCAAACTTTCCACTTTTATAGTATCTGATGTCATACGTCTGACAGAATCTATATTTCAATTTTAGTGACATGTCTAACATTAGTCTACCATTTTGGGGTAGGAATACATCATATGAAATGTCAAGAGGTGAATAGTAAGTTAACCAGATTTAAAATTGTTACATACCTGATGGAAGTATGGGCTGTGAACCAAACTGATGTCCAAACGTTTGTATCGCATTCCAAGTGTCATATCATCGGGAGAATCGTCCGCATGGCAATCAGCCTCACCATTTATCACCAACTGATTAATGGCCTCTCTGCTAAAAACCATCCTGAAAATGACAGAAAAATCTCTACAACATACTGACAGTGCTGATAGTTCAGTAACAATTTATTCAAATACCAGTATTTGTTGGGTTCACAAGACAAAGGTTCCCTTATACCTACCCTCCCCCTCCTGTGATGTAAGTATAGCCCCAGTTTTTCTTGGCTATAGCATAACCATAAACTTCCCCCAGGTGAACAGGTTCCTTTGGATCATAACATGCCAATAACTTCCTCAGTCTCTTCAAACTGAAGAACCAACAGGACAAAAATGTGAATATACAATCAAATTAGATAATATTTGAATCTATGTAAATTTTGGCTGGTTCAGAAAACACCACTCACTTGATAATTGTGTCATCATCAGCAATCAGAAACCAGGATGCCTTGGCATATTTCTTATCTTTGTGCCACCTCCTCAACATAGCCATAGTCTTCCCACAATGCCCTAAGGGTTTACAAACATCCATGACTCAAAATATGCAAACGAAATGTATAATTTAACTGTATCAGTTATATTATTAGAGTGTAAATGCTTTGAACATGCTGACTTTGAATGAACTAAACCTCTCTCTGTATTGGCGACCCCTAGGCTGACAGTGGGAATGGCAGGATCTTCCTTCTCACTGAAATACTCAATATTCTTTGTGTCTTTTCCCCATGTTTCTTTCACAATAGGCACTAAATTATACAGTAATTACATTTAAAACTTAACATTGCTGATTGGAAAAAGATTAAGACTGAAATATCATGTAAGATAAGTTAGTACCTACAGTTAGTGACAATGTTTACAATTACTGTGTGACATCAAATAGGGAAGTACTAGATACCCCTTTCTGTGTGGAACTTTTCACAAGTCTTCACTCCAACAAACAGTTTGTCTTCAGGAATTTCTGGTCCCTGGAATATAATGAATCAATAAATATTAGTGTATTCTTGGAATTTGAACTAACATGCTGCAAAAGATGTACCTTTGAATGATGTTTTCTATTTAGCTGAAAATGAATTCCAGTTAAACCATATTGTCTCAAAGTAAATGGGATCAAGAAAAAAGTTTTGAGATATCCAAAGATTTGAGGTAGTAAGGTTAAAATACAAAAAGAAAAAGTGATTGGGACTTACAACTCACTTCAACATATCATTGTGGTATTCGACACATCAATGTCTGAGATACCAAACTGTGTAAGTGGAAAAATCTGTGTAGCTTATCCTATTCATGTGAAATTACTAACTAAGGCCATTTAAGTCTGTAACATTTGTACTTACACAGTCTGGAAACTTCAGAGGGTACCAAGACGCACACTTCTCATTGTAATCAAAGGTACATAACTCTGGTACTTCTGTTAGATTCACTCCTTTATCATCATTCTGTATCACCAAAGCTAGCTGCCAAATAGCAATATTTGTTACATGTCAACACATGTAGCCTTAATCAATTATGACTACTGACTGATGAGCTTTTTGACCAATTACTTTCAACTATTTTATTATTAACTTACTTCATGTTTGGGATCTATAGTAAAATCTGATCTGACAGAGTCATCAGGCCATCTTTGCCCTACACTAGAAAAAATAAGACTTTTGTTAATTCTGGAACTATTGTATTTACAGTGCAGGAAACTAATTTTGTTACAGCATCGATGCTGATTTGAATGCTTCCTTTGCTTGCTGATTTGAATGCTTCCTTTGCTTGCTGATTTAATGCTAGTAATCCTTATCCTGATGCTGTTTTATAATTAGGTCAATGCTACCGGAAGTAGCATCATGCTACCGGAAGTAGATAATGAATTTCAGCATTGCCGATTAAAGCAATAAAAGTGCCTTTTAGAATTATTTGATCATAATATCTCACTGTGTATCAATAATGTGAATACGTTAACCAATATTCTTTCTTTCTTTTTTAATTTTTTACTGAATTAAAACTCATTGATTTTCTGATGCTAGTAGGATAATGCTGATTTTATGTAGGTCAATGCTGGTTTTATCCTTTGCTTGCTGATGCTGATCCTGGTAATGCTGTTTTTTAAATGCTGATGCTGATGCTGGCTCGATCCTGATGCTACTAATGCTTATGCTGATGCTGGTTTATGTAACAAAATCAGTTCCCTGCACTGTAATGCTCACAGAAACATTCAATAAACTTAAGTCTATACCTCATGAACAAAGCTCTGCTTAGAGCCATCCCTGCACCAAAGTCAGGGAAGGCAAAGGATGATGGATTATTAGCATTGGCAAAATGATGTATAATGGTGGCTTCTCTGTCTCTCAGAGCATTACCCAGGAAGTATTCCTGTATGTATAAAAAAAACTCAAATTCAAAGATCAATTGATAGATTTACATCTATACATTTATATAACCAGGCATATTATTAAACTTTATAATATATTAGAAATACAAGTCCTAACCTTGTTTGGATTACATTTTTGCAGAACATCCAAGAGTTTAAAAACATCCAATCTTGTTTCTTCTTCACATATAAAAATCCAAGAGAAGTCTTTAAAGTCCTTGGCAAATCTAACCAAAGACAGACACAAGTGTATTATTTTCTGTAAAACATGGCTATAGTAAACCTACCATAAGAATTATACTTGCCCTCTTCTATTTTATTTCATTATGTTCAGTTAATATTTCATATGCTGATGAAAATATATTTATATTTTTAAAGGTGCCTTTGCTATAATGAGTTTCTAATTACTCCATTCTAACACAATTTTTTTTTCATTACAAATTTGTTATACCCAAGTATGAGGTACAACCTTTGACCTACCATATAATGCAGCTGTCGTTCAAACATGATGTTTAAAATGAATTTTCTGAGTAGTACTCACACTGGCATTAGGGGCAGAACTGTGAAGGCTCCTATCAGATCCCAGTTTTCATGTGTAAAGTATAGTTTAGGCCTTTCATCCTTTATGTAATAGACAAGCAATGTTCAAAATGATACTCTATTTTGTAAATACATTTGTGAGTACATAAATTAGAAATCATTTTTCTTTTTCTTACCAAAAAACTTGTCTAATGTTATCCTTACAAACTGGTATTAACTGAACATACCTTATTAAGATCTTTTGTTTGTTCTTGAAAATGTTTCTTGAACTCAGAGGACCTTTTCCGATGATAAGAGTTAGGCTGACTGATAACAACAAACGCAATGTCCTTCAGGCTCAAGTCTACAAAGATTGTTCATTATCATTAAGCACTTAGTGCATGCAGTTAATCAATATGATATGAATTCCTCAAACATCAAAAAATAAAATTTTATTTACATCTTCAACTCTTAATGCAAATTTACACCAGAAAGAAGTCTAATTTCTTACCTTTAGGCTTTGCCTTTGCAACTTTTTTATCTTCCTTTGCAGCTTCCACTAACACTGAAAACATTCAGAGAATAATCAAACTCCATTTTATTATTTCATCATACACTAGAAATCTTCCATTTTATTATTTCATAGGCCATTTCATGGGCCATGCATTAGGAATTTGTTGGAAGAAGATCAAATTGTGAGCATGGTTTGTGAGGTTTCGAAATTAAGTCTTCATTAAAACAGAAAATGTACAGATGAACTTAAAGGTTGCATGCTTGCTTTACGCCTCTTCTGAAAATTTTTCACTCATATTGAGATAATCTATATGACAAGAATATGAGATTAGCTAAATTAATGCAAACACCAAGAATCTGATCAATGATGCACGTTTATCAGAACTGCATGTACTGTTAATCATAAATGTCCATGTTGTCTGTTGACAGAATAAAAGAATATTGCATTCATACTAGGCCTAGTTCAACAATTGCTTTTAATTCAATTTTCAATTTTATTGATTCACCAAACATGTTGGCATACAACCATGTTACAAACAAAATGAAAAATACAGTGTGTTTTCAGATTACTAAAACATATACTAAAGTACATACATACATGCAAGTGTACAAATCAGTGAAGTCAACTACTTTTACAACTTGAAGTTATACATAATCATTATGCAAATAGTATAAACAGTATAATATGGACAGAGATAAACTAATTAATGCATTAAATATATATTATTGTGCTCTATTTTTAGAACGCAATTCAAAACAATTGCTTTTAAAGTGACAATCTCTTTGATTAAAGTCAAACATTACCAATCAACAAAGGAAGCAAAACCCAAGGCATAACTTTGAAAGAGAACATGATTCCTTTCGAGTGCTGTCGTGGCCTTCCTTCTGCACTGTTTACCGATGTTGTCGAACGTCTCAAGTAAGCGAGCTGCCGATTGATCAATCTTCCGTAATTAGCCAATCGAACCGCGTGTTGCAGAAAAGCACCTTCGCATCGAAATTGTTTACAAATGGCTACTGGTCCACAGGGATATCCAAAATGGTTATTAAACTGCAAACAGAACATCGGCGATTCGAAGGTGGATGGCTTGATTTCAAGAAAAAAAATAATTCGTGTATTATGTCTTAGTGTTTTGATAATAATAGATATAGTATCGTTCGAATGGGGAGGGAAATTGGCCGGAGATGGAAAATGAGGTGGCGGGGTGTCTGTTAAGCTTTTGGGCTAGTCTGTTCGGCAATAGCATGTAATCATCAAATGACTTATCATTTGATATAAAAGGATTCAACGTGCCATTATATTTTGACATTAGCCATAAGCTGAAAATGTACATAGAAAAAATTAAAAATGAACATTTTTGTTATTTTAAAAGTTCCAGTATGACTATGTTGACAGGTCTTTCCAACAAGGCATAACACATTTTGTGATATAAGGGAAGTTTAAAAAAAACTTTATTGACAGTGGTATATACTCAGACTCAAGCTTGATGTTTTTTTAAGCTTTGATATTATATTTTGCATGTTTGAATGATAGATTTATGTACAGATTTTAGAACTTTCTTATGAATCATTGCTAGAGAAATGAAGTTTTATTTAAATTATCTGATTTCTTAGGATTGGAATGTTTTTCTGAGGGAGTTACATGATGCGATTCAGCAGCAGCTCACAGAAAGCCATGTCCAGTATTTCAGTGACTTGTCAGAACCCGAGAAAGAACTTTTTATGGAAAGAGCAACAAAAGCTTTGGAAGGAGGTATAATGTGAACATTAAGATACTTACACATTATGTACAAATTAGGGATGTCAACGAGTACCCAGTTAACCGGGTACTCGATCGAACATCCGAGTATCGAATACTAAAAATGGTACTCGGTTACTCGGATGTGTATTTTTTCTTATTACAAAGTACATATTTTCATCAAAAATAACTGAAATATACATACGGTAATTTGCGTGTCATCATCTACACCTGTAGAACACCCGTTATCGCCTCTGGTTGTGTATATACAATAATTAGTGACCAATCACCCAGCTGTACTCACCTATTGTGGTCCTTAATTTTTGAATGGCTTCAGTGATTGTTTTCAGTGAACATCGATGGTCTATTATCTTTAAATCATTTTAAAATTATTTAGTTAATATATGGCAGCAAAATCGGATATGCATAGAAATGTCGTTACCCACTTCAAAAGTGAAGAAATATTTAGAAATAACAATGTTGAAAGTCAGTTTGCGTCCTAAGTTTAGTGTATACGGGGGAAACAACCAACATATGAAATAGTATTAGACTAGCGATCCAAACAACATCCGTTTCTTCTCTTTCGCTAGTCTAATCATCATAAACATGCGTAAGAGATTGTCCTCCTTTTGATGAAATAGATCCTAAAGAAGAACTGTAAACCATTTGTAATTTTTGATGTATTAATTGTGTCTTTTGTGTTGGATAAATAAATTTAGTACCAAAAACATTTCCGTTGGAAATTAACAGAGAGGTTTAACAGAGAGCTAAACGGGGCTCAAGAAAATTTTACTTGTATTTACATTTTTTTTACCGAGTACCCGGGTACTCGATCGGAAAAACGTCTGAGTAACCGATTATCAAAAATTGACTGATTTGACATCCCTAGTACAAATACAGTCAAACCTCGTCATCTCGAACTTGATGGGACCAAGAAAAAACTTGAGATATTGAGGGTAAAATACGTAAAGAAAAAGGGCTTGGGACTTTCCAATCACTTTGACACATCCATTGTATTCGAGATATTCGTGTTCGAGATACGGAAGTTCAACTGTAACTGTTTACCTTGACCATGGTTAAAATATGTTCTTGACCTTTGTGAGGATTTGTAAATTATTCAGAAATTTTTTTAGATGTTAGAAAAGCGTGTATCACATTTATGTGTAACTTAAAGTGTAATATTATATTTTTTTAGGGACCTCGTACAACAATTTAATGAAGAAGGTGTCCCTGCTGATGGACCAAAGTCTTAATGAAGAGGTTTCCAGACAGCTACTAGAAGACTCACCCATTGACACAAAATCTGATCTAATTATTGAAAATGCTGAAGAAGGAGCACTAAGCCTTCTGAAGAAGTGGCCGGAGATGAAGGAGAAGCTTCATGTCTGTTTAAATCAGCCTCTCCCTCCTCCACTTCGTCAGCTGGCCTGGCGACTTTATCTCAGCAACACCAAAGGTATACTCAATGTTGATCTTTGTCAAATTCTTCCTTTATCTCATATTCATTCGCTGCATCTGTTGAAAATAATACATCCTTAGTACTCTTGTATTCACACAGCTGTATATTCATTACATTACCGAACAATGACAAGTCTCTGTATGTAAAAATTTGCAGAAAAAGTAATGCTGTATAAGATTAAAAATCATAATACATATATTTGTAACTATAGGTATACTCATTAACTTAATGTTTAATTGCATACAATGAAAACTTACAGAATATCTATGGTCTTGTAAGTCAGAATGATATATTAAAAAAGGGGTCATGGTATTAAAAAGGAATTGAAAAATTTGTGGCGTAAGATTTCGCACAAGAAGGAGAGAATGATTGCAAATGGTTTTATAATACATGTATTATCATACATTTTTTCACACATGTATAAATATATATTGTTATACCTTTAAAAATTGTTTCCTTTATAATTCTATACTAAAAAAGTCTAACATTTCCAATGTTTTACTGACCGGTCATAAAAAAATTGATGTTTGACCGCAGAGTGAGATATTGGACCTGTCGATGAGATGTTGGACTGCTTATGTCACAGTGTGGGCAGGGTCAGCTGTATCTTATTTGAATTTGTTGGAGTTCGACTGAACTTTACAGAACTGACAAAGTTTAAACCGCAGTGCGGGTAAACAAAATTTACATCATGTTATGTTCAGATAAAAAGTAAAAGGTATAACAAAACATTTATTGATTGTGTTCTCGGGCAAAATGCGTTTTGTCGACCCCTCGAACCAAACTGTTTGGTTCTTGGGTCTGACAAAACGCATGTTGCCCTCGAACCCAGTCAATAAATGTATAATATTTTGTCCCAAGTGCTGATGCATATAATCATTTTGTGAAGGATTAAGTCTGCTTTGCTTTTGTGTTAATGCCAACCTGTACTGTGTAACCACCACCTGGCATGTCATGTAATCACTGTGAGTATCTAGTATTGTATATGGCTTTTTGTTATACATGTTGTACTAGTGTTAATTGTAGGATGTTAACAGTGTCTTTATATTTGGGATATGAAACACTTATGAACACACCCTTGTATGTATACTGTTGATTTATGAAAACGAATCAAGTGACTTTTTTACAATTCAGGAGAGGATTAAATATTTTTTTGTTTTTTGTGTATAATGGTCAGCTCATGTATATTCTTTAACTCCAAATTTTACTACACTATCAAGCTAAGTTTAGACATTTTATAACTATTATTTTTGTCTTTGTCAGTGAGAAAACAGTATGTTGACTTGTTGAACACAAATCCAAGAGCAGCAATATCTCAGTATGATTATGAGATATCTCAAAAATGTGAACAACTCATCAATTCTGAGCCAACCTTCAGTGATCTCAGGGGATCTGTGGGTAAGAACTTTCTTTATAAGTACAACAAAGCAAATGCAATTGCATTACAAAATGGCTGTCATATTTATAAATTTGAACAGAATAAACTAGATGCTGTCATGAGACAGTAATATCCGCACTAAGGTGTTTGCCTCTAAATGCACATATTTATATTCATATTGGGCTTACCAAGGAAAAAGTCCAAACAATTCTACAATTTACACAGTACATGTATTCGTCAAATCGAGCATAAAATGCTCAGGTGACCATGTGACCCATGAACCTCTTATACGCATTTCATATACTTAATTCATTACCAGTCTGAAATAACAGAATTTAATTAATGATGTAAATTAGGTTTTGATTAAAGGGGGGAGATATAAATTTTTGGCCCATAATTGGAACTTTTCAAATTTATTTTCTCAACAACAAATAATATTATTTTAGTACAAAGCGATTTTGATGAATTTATCAAAATGTGCAAACTTTTTTTAGTATTTGATTAGGCAAAAATCTCCTTGAAAAGCCATACCCAATCAATTTTCTCACCCCCCCCCCCTCCCCCCAACACACACACACAATTTGCCTGTTTTTGGAAATAGGCCTAGATGGCAAAGTTATGTTAAAACATCGTTTGTTATGATAATTTAAAATTTGTTCTTGTACTGTACATGTATGTGAACACCTTTTTGAAAATTTCTACATCACATTGGGCTTGCGTCACCCTACCAGTACTAGTACTAGTTTTACCATTATCATTTTTAGATTGCACATGCCATGTGACATGGTGTGGTGCAGTGTTACATGTATATCAGTGGAAATTAATTCATTTTGTGTTTTAATTGGATTATATTTCATGAAGTTGACAGGACCTATGACAGTCGGTAAGTACAAGTTTAAGTATAGATTGGGGTAAAATAAGCCGAAATGCAAATGGTTAGGTTAAAGTTTAAAAAGGATGAAAGATCATTGGCAATCTCCTATGCAGAGTTGTCGTTCGTTTCTCTCTCAGACACTGAATGTATGAGCCGATGGTAGAGAGTGGATCATCGGATGCCACAATAGACGAATTTCACATTCTGAAGAGTTATCTCCCATTGTCGACATTACATTCAGTTACAGGCACAGATCCGGGAAATTTTTTCGGGGGGGGGGGGGGGGGGGGGGGGGGGTGTCCACACCTCAGTCAAAAAAAATTCCAGCCCAGAATTTTAATTGTTGAAAACTCCTAAAATGAATGTTAACTTCAAATCCGACTTGTACATCTTCATTATTTTTAAGTGGTGGTGTCTCCGTATGAGTGAAAAATTCCCAAGAGGGACATTTAACAACAAACAAACATTAATGACTTAAAAAACACAATATACATGTACATGTTTATTAGTCAACAGATATACTTCTGATCATATCTCTAGTTCTCCCTTGAATCAGAAATGATGATATAAATATTTTAAGAATGATTAAGAGTTGAAAAGGTTGTGCATTTTAAAATTCACTAAGCTCTGTGGTTGAATTAGCTATACCAGTTTAGCTTATTTTGCTACTCAAAGCACCTTGATTAACTATTTTTAATCATACTGTTTTCTGAAATGTGAAGTTTTTTCAACATGGATACAAGTCATACCTTTTCAGATTCTGAAAACAATGCATGAAAAAAAAAACTTCTTTTCAAATACTGTAACTCTTTCCAAGTACTTGTGATCATCAGTTTTTAGCTCACTTGAGTTTTTCTGGTTTTCTGATCACATTTTGTTTGTCATTCATCTGTCCGCCTGTAAACTTTTCACATTTTTGTCTTCTTCACTAGAACCGCTGGGCCAATTTCGACCAACCCTGCCACAAAGCATCTTCGGGTAAAGGGGATTCAAGTTTGTTCAAGTGAAGGGTCACACCCTCTTTCAAGGGGGGATAATCAAGAATTAGTAAAAATTTGGTGGTATCATTTTAAAAAAGTCTTATCAAGAACCACTGACTGGGCCCAAAAAGTTGAAACTTTCTTTACATAGACTTAGTGTAGCTTCAAATTTGTTAAAATTATGACCCACTGGGGTAGGGTGGGGCCACATATGGGGATCCAATGATTTACATAGAAAAATGCAGGGGATTTTTTCCATCATAAATCTTCTTCTCATGAACAGCAAGGGCATTATTGTCGTCCGTTTTCGCAAAAGGGACCTATGGGACATTAAATCTCATTTGTCTGTCAGTCTGTCCGTTTGTCAGTCTGTCCGTCTGTCACAATAAATTTAACCTTGGTCATAACTTCTGAATAATAAGAGATAGGGCTTTCATATTTCACATGTACATTACTTACAAGAACTTTCTAAACATACCATGATTTTTGAACCCATGACCTTGACCTTGAAGTTTGACCTACTTTTCAAAAAATTTAACATTATTTTAAATGATCATTTTGAGAGAGAAAAGATAGGGCATTCATATTATGCATGTATATTACCTGTGACAAGACCTTTCTAAATATATCATGACTTTTGACTCTGTGACATTGACCTTGAAGTTTAACCTACTTTTCAAAAATGTTATATTTCCTTATAACTTTTGACTGAGAAGAGATAGGACTTTTATATTTGACAGGTACATTACCTGTAACAAGATGTTTCCAAGCATGCTATGATTTTTTTAACCCTTGACCTTGATGTTTTACCTAATTTTCAAAAATTTTAACTTTGGTGATTACTTTTGAATGACATATGATAGGGCGTGCATATTTGAAACAATATGTCATAAATAATGGCATCCCATCCACTAGGACACGGAAAGCAGGGGACCACAATTCTTTGAATTTGCTTGTTAGTCATTTTGATATGGAAACATCCTCATATAGTGTAGATTCAAGTTTTTTATGCCCTGCCATGAATATGGCTGAGGCATATCGTGTTTGTCATGTCTGACTTCAATAAAACGTCATATGCTGATACATACTGATATAAGCTTTTCAACTGCATCAAAATTTTTGACCTTGAATTTTCCTTTGACCTTGACCTTACTTTTCTTAAATTAGTGTCTAGATCAGTTTTGAATAAACAATTCAAGATATATTTATCGAACTTCATATGCTGATATATACTACTGAGAGATATCAATTGCATCAACTTTTTTGACCTTGACTTTTCCTTTGATCTTGACCTCACTTTTTTAAATTAGTGTTTATCTACATTTTAAATAAACCATTTCTGATATTTTTGTTGAACTTCTATGCTAATAGTAAATACATACTGATATAAGTTTTTCAACTGCATCAACATTTTGACCTCAACCTTTCCGTTGACCTTGACCTCTCTTTTCTCAAATAAGTGTTAAGCTCAGTTTTTAAATAAATCATTCAAGATATTTTTATCAAACCTAATATGCTGATATGTATTAGTGAGAGCTCTTCCACTGCATCAAAAACTTTTCACCTTGCACTTTCCTGTGACCTTGACCTCCCTTCTCTTTAATTTGTATTTTGCTTAGTTTTAAAGAAACAATCTAAGATATTTTATGTAAGCATGCACTTATAGATAATTTTGTGAGAATTTATCATCTATATCCATTTTTTTAGATTTTAGTTTCAATTTTAAAGAAACTGTTCAAGATATTCTCATCAAACTTCATACACTCATACAAATTTTCATGTTGCATTAGTAATATACATTCAGCGGGGCATTTATGTCCTATGGACATATTTCTAGTTTTCAAATCATGACCTCCGAGGATAGGGTCAGGCCACAATAAGGGATCAAAGTTTTATAGAGATTTAAAAGGAAAAAATATCTTCAAAATTCTTCTTTTTAAGAATAACAAAAGCATGATTAATATGGAAACATTCCCAAGAAGTGTAGATTCAAGTTTGTACAAATCATGACCCCATGGGTTAGGGAGGGGCCAATTTTTTCCTGCCCCTATTTGCTATCCACATAGAAATGCAAATTTTAAAACCATTTTACACATCCACAGGACAAAATCAATCATCTTCCAAACGATCATGATTTAAGGCTAGTGCATAAAATATAAGGGAAGTTCTGGGAACCAGGATGTTTAAACATGTTAAATATTTTTTTTTTTAAAAATTGACCCCCAATTGACCCCCAGGGGGAAAATAAGAATTCTGAAACCTTACTGCACATCTATAGGACACCACCAACCATCTCCCAAAAGATGATTAGGCTATGTGTAAAATGTAAGAGGAGTTCTGGGAACCAGGGGCTTTTTGCATAAAAAACGTCATTTTTCAACCCCTATTTGACCCCATCGTGAAAATGAAAATTCCGAAACCTTACTGCACATCTACATGACACCACCAACCATCTCCCAAAAGACGATAAGGCTATTGTGTAATATGTAAGAGGAGTTCAGGGAACCAGGGGCTTTTTGCATAAAAAACGTCATTTTTCGACCCCCATTTGACCCCCAGGGTGAAAATGAAAATTCCGAAACCTTACTGCACATCAACATGACACCACCAACCATCTCCCAAAAGACGATTAGGCTACTGTGTAAAATGTAAGAGGAGTTCTGGGAACCAGGGGCTTTTTGCATAAAAAACGTCATTTTTCGACCCTCATTTGACCCCCAGGGTGAAAATGAAAATTCCGAAACCTTACTGCACATCTATAGGACACCACCAACCATCTCCCAAAAGACGATTAGGCTACTGTGTAAAATGTAAGAGGAGTTCAGGGAACCAGGGGCTTTTTGCTTAAAAAACATCATTTTTGGACCCCCATTTGACCCCCAGGGTGAAAATGAAAATTCCGAAACCTTACTGCACATCTGCAGGACACCACTAACCATCCCCCAAAAGATGATTAGGCTACTGTGTAAAATGTAAGAGGAGTTCAGGGAACCAGGGGCTTTTTGCATAAAAAACGTCATTTTTCGATCCCCATTTGACCCCCAGGGTGAAAATGAAAATTCCGAAACCTTACTGCACATCTACAGGACACAACCAACCATCTCCCAAAAGATGATTAGGCTACTGTGTAAAATGTAAGAGGAGTTCAGGGAACCAGGGGCTTTTTGCATAAAAAACGTCATTTTTCGACCCCCATTTGACCCCCAGGGTTAAAATGAAAATTCCGAAACCTTACTGCACATCAACATGACACCACCAACCATCTCCCAAAAGACGATTAGGCTACTGTGTAAAATGTAAGAGGAGTTCTGGGAACCAGGGGCTTTTTGCATAAAAAACGTCATTTTTCGACCCTCATTTGACCCCCAGGGTGAAAATGAAAATTCCGAAACCTTACTGCACATCTACAGGACACCACCAACCATCTCCCAAAAGATGATTAGGCTACTGTGTAAAATGTAAGAGGAGTTCTGGGAACCAGGGGCTTTTTGCATAAAAAACGTCATTTTTCGACCCCCATTTGACCCCCAGGGTGAACATGAAAATTCCGAAACTTTACTGCACATCTACATGACACCACCAAACACCTCCCAAAAGATGATTAGGCTACTGTGTAAAATGTAAGAGGAGTTTGAGAAATAAGAGTGTGACAGACAGACGGACGGACGGACGGACAGACATGAGTAACAACAATATACCCGAACTTTCTTTAGAAAGTGCGGGTATAATCATATTTTTATCTATCTTTTAAATGCTCTTAAAACAATACATGTATAATACATCTACTATTAATTGATAGTAGTCTCTTTATATGTAATTTTTTTTATCTTTGACATACTATTATTATGATTTGATAATACAGGTTGTATAGACATTATAAGATTTGGTTTGATCCTGTATCTAAGGATTTTTTTTGATCAGGTAATTTCTATGGAATGAAGGCTGTTTTGTCATATCATCATTCTGCTCAAAAAACAAAGAACAGGTTGAGAGATGTTGACCACCTGCTGGTTGTCCCATTCCTAGAGGTGGCAAGCTCGAGTATACCTAGGTAAACAAAGTCTTAACAAGCTATCTCTTTTGACATATAAAAATAATAATAAAGAAAATATATTGCAATTGAATAAAGTTCATAAGCAATGCATCTATGAGGACCTCTTAGGATAGTTGCACCGAAAGATATGTTTTTCTCTTGTAGAAAAGAACCGCCAGCAGGTAGGGTTGTGGCCCTTTTGGTCGAGGAGTTTGAGACGTTAATGGGTGGACGTCCAGGTTTTGTGGAAGACTCGGGATCTGATGTAAAATTCATTCAATAATAACTATCTTACAGCATTTTTAAACTATCAGTGTGAATAGTTAAAGTTTTTTTTTTTCATTTTTAGTTGCACAATGAAGAAGTAAGAGCATTCATTGACAAGGTGGCTACAATGCTCTCAGCTAAATACCCAGAATCTGTCAAAAACATTGTGGACAAGTTCAGCCCATCAAAAGGTCATCTCAGAGAAATCATATTTTTCTAATTATTAAATCCATATTTCACAGATTTCTTATTCGTAGCTGGCTTTGTTTTGGCTTTGTTTTACAGAGAAGATTGTTGCCACAGAGACGGGTAATCAAGCCTTATTGAGGGAGGGACTGATTGAGATATGTCGCCCTATGTTAAGAAGTCTTTTTGTCAGTAAGTGTTATCAAGTGCCACATTGGAAAACATGAATAAAATTTGTTAACTCCAGTATCCTCTATTTAAATAAAAATTCTCTTGTTATCCTTCCTCTGGAGAGGCCTGTAACAGGGATCGAAGTAGACGGGGGTTCCTTCAGAATATTGAAATTTCTTATCAGAATACAGAACAGGATTTTAAACATTTCAGCATACTTGAACCAAGATACACTGCTGTATGTGTGGGATAACTATATTATTGGACTGGACACCCCAGGTTTCTCTACAGAGTGGCTGGCGATAGTACTAGTTACTATACTGGGACTCACTAAAGATAAAATCAAAGAGGCAACTTCTGTGAGTAGATTCAGACTGTATACCGAAAGTGACATTGTATTGCAGAAACTGTATATATACATGAATGTTTGTGAGATTGTCCAGACATGAAAATAAAGTTTTCATCATTAATGATGGGAAATAACTCCAATTACTCAATATTTGAATCATATGTGAAAATTATGTTTAACCAGTCAATGAAATGCTACTGACTGCAGATCACACCATGTAAAATATGTGTAATTTACAGTTGAAAACTGAAATGTTACATATGCAAAAAGAATCAAATGGAAATAATGTTTTACATCCATAATAATCTTTCATTGCAGCCTGCTACATTAGAAAAAATTCTAAAAGCAGAGAGTTGTAAATTAACAGTGCCACAGATACAGTATGAGGTAAAACTGTGATTCAGAAAAAAAAACCTACAGAAGTAAATTAGAGTATAAACATGTGATGATTTTTGTATTGACAATCACTACCATTTCAATGGGTTAAGCAGTATTTCTATCATGTGTTGGTTCTTGTATTGACTTTCAATACCATTTTAACAGGTTAAGCAGTACTACTATAAGGACCTGTTTTCCATGCTTACCAGAGATTCTAAGGCTGCCATTCCAGTCCTAGATCCAACACAAGGTATAAGGACATAAAATTTCTTATCTAATATCTTACCCAGTTAATCACATTCAGGAAAATTTTGAGAAAAAAAAGATTATACTAGATTTTGCTTGGGAAGTGCAAATTATCATGCACAACTATTGCAGCTCTACACCCCCCATGGAGGCACTGGTACAATGATGTTATCCCTCCCTTTACAAAACCTCAGGACCGTCGAAAGGCTCGGGAAGAAAGGGAAGCTGAGAGAGAGAGGTGGGTAGAAATTTTAATTTATTGACACCTCTAGATATGACAAATAGATGTGATTTTTTTCCCAAGGAAAAAGACAATCTTCTGCATCTATACATGTAACACATGTATCCAATTTATAGAATCTTATGAAAAAAGTACCCGAGATAATTGATTTGGACACTTGATTTGATTTTCTTTGTGATTAGGTTGGCACAGCAACAGAAGGATGCAGAAACAGCAAGAAGGGAACAGGAAGCCAGAGATAGAAG